GCGTACTCGTCAAAACTCAGCTCTCAAGTCCCTCTGGATCATAAATGCAGCGAGCAAACATAGCTCGTGCTGCGAAAATAGGCTTGAAATTTTCACGACGCATTGCAACATCTCGGCGCTTTGCCAGGTCTCCATCCTTTGGGAATCTGAGAAAACTAACCCCAGGAGGATGATGTGATACTGGCACAATCAACAACACAACAATTTGGCATTGCAGCGGCTCAGGCGACTTGGCAAACTACTTTCTGAAGTGACTTTCGTCCTGAAGAAAGTGAGATTCAAAATCCAAGTATTTTCGCACCATGCCACAATGACGTCACACATACATTGGTATGGGGCGTGGCTAAAATTGAAATATCTCAAGAACGCTTTTACTATTTCTCGTAGAGACTTCGGACCAAGACCATTCGACTCATAGTAGGGAGTTCAGTTCCGGTCACTGAAAAGCGAAAAGTGCAGTCACAGCTCGCCTGTACAAAGTGAATGGGCGCCTCGTGGCTGCAGTTCGAGATGCAGTTCGCGGCCCAAGTATCTTCTCCCGCGGCCTTTTCGGCCTTGTCGATGCTATTTTTAGGTAGCTGAGGTCATTACCTTTCCAATGGTGCCACACATGCCATGCCATGCTTCCAAAAATAATGCCTCCGCGCTTGGCGCGGGTGCACTTCGAAGTACTAATTTCGACCAGATCCGTACTCGGCTTCGCGAGGAACACCCGATTTTCGTGTTCAGCGGCCTCGAATTAGCCTAGACCAAGAGGATTCTACAACATTGAGGCTCGCGCTTTATCGCCGTAGAAGGAAAATGATCACAGAAACCAGCCCACGGCGATTTCCTGGTGGTAGACGAAAAAATCGAGTGAACTGCGCGCACACTGGTAGAAGCAGTGACGGTGAAAACGTGTGACTTGTGCAAGTCGGCGCGCACGGCATGCGTGCACACTGCATGCATGCACACATCCTGTATCGCCATGTATGCACCAGATAGTGCAGTGCTGGACGGAAACCACACGGCTCCCATACATACTTGCATTTACTTCTGTGACTACTTTCTCCCCCGTTTTCCGATCTTCAATCGACTATAACTCTAGATTGCCTTGGAATTTTGGGTTCAAATTTTCACAGGTTGTTTCTCGATTCTTCCCGGTTTAGAAAAACTAGCGTTTTATGCAAAACTCGCGAATTTGATTTTTCAATTGAAGTCCCTACTCATAGCTCGGCGCCCGAAACTCTACAGGCTATCAAATTTTCATTTTTTCGTGGAGTTCCCCTTTAATTTTTTGCCGACTACCCGCCAAAAAACACATTTTGACACGCGTGTGTGCTGGACGTCTGCGCGCGTGCGCGTGCTTCGCTTACAGTCTGGTATTCGACTCAAAATCATTTTTTCGCGCGTAGCTACACTGCACTCAAAATTTTGTGTCTCAGATTGTGCAATAATATTTTTGCACATGTGCTCGTGGCCGGCCGTGCACGCGTGGTGGATAACCCAACCTGTCTTTATTGGAGTTACTTGGCTTTCGATATTGCTGTGTCTCTTGATCTCGCTCGTTGATTCTAAGCCTTGGTATATTCCTGATAATGGCGTCCCTCGCTACCAAAGCTCGCGGGAGTATCAATCGGGTCCCAACACAGATCTTCCGTGTTGCTGTCAGATGCCAATCTAATGGTGGATCAGATGATTTCTTGAACACTCCTTCAGATTCGCCATTCAGCAACTACGGACAGGCCCCACCACCGCCTCCGCCGCCGGCACAACAAGGAAACTTTGGCCAGCCCGCTATCAGTGGATTTGGTGCTCCTGGTGCGGCCACTGGCTTCCAGCAGCCAGCACCTGGCGGATTTGGTGGGCATATGCCACCACCACCACCACCAGCATTTGGAGCTGCACAGGGTGGTGGATTTGGTGCGCCACAAGGAGGATTTGGTGCTCCGCAGGGTGGTTTCGGCGGACAGCCACAGGGTGGTTTCGGAGGACCGCCGCAAGGTGGTTTCGGAGGACCGCCGCAAGGTGGTTTCGGAGGACCCCCCCAAGGTGGTTTCGGAGGACCGCCGCAAGGTGGTTTCGGAGGACCTCCGCAGGGTGGCTTCGGTGGTGGTTTCGGCGGCCAAGCACCAGGATTCCCCCAGCAAAATTTCCGCCGACCGCGTGAGAATGCTCCGATTCCGACCAAGGAGCCGTTTGGCCTGATGCTTCTGCGTGTGGGTGGGATGCGCGAGAAAGAGCTGATGGACTTGTTCCAAACACAGAACCCTACTCGCGTCCAGATGCTATCAGACTCGCAGGCACACATCTTCTTCGAGAATCGCGAGGACCTGGTCGCTGCACTGGCCATGAACGGCAAGGAGGAGGTGAGCTTCATCCGCGTCGTGACCAGCCTGCGCCTGCACCGCATGACCGAGATCGGTGAAGCCGGTCCCTTCCGCGCCCACTTGCGCAACCTGCCGCCGAACTCTGCGCTCTCGGATCTGCTTGAGATCTTCAAGGATTTTAACCCGCTCGACGGCGTCATCCTGCAGAACAACGTGTCGCTCTCGCGCTACGCATTCATGGAGTTCCCGACCAAGGAAATGCTTCTCAAGGTGCTAGATCTGACGAACTCCCACGAAATCAAGGGCATCGTCGTCAACCCAGCCAGCCAGCGTATGGCGTAATGACTTGTAGACTCTTTTTTACTATTAAGTGGCATCATGTAACGACGTGATTAGTTGACATGACAGAGCAATCATTGTGTTTGCACACCTGTGCTGGTGCTTGCATGGCTGCTACGGTTCTGTCTGGCTCCTGATTATTGGAGGACATACTTGAAGCGGACAAACTTAGTTGTTAGTTGTTTTGAATTGCGCAATTGCATCAAACCTCCCGTACTGGGCCTGCCCAGCATGCAGCCTTATTCGTATTGCTCGGAATGCAGAGCACTGTAAATGATACCATGTGATCCAGCAGTTGCCGTTTTTGCTGAATGTGCCGGGCTGGGCGATTTCAATTGTACTTTGTTGACTGCTACAGTAGAGTCCCGCGCCCAAGAACGTTGTTTCCAATGGGCTAGCCTGGGACGTTCTTATTTTTCACCGATCCGACTGCGTTCTTGTAACACATTCTTGGAAACAATCCGTACTGAATCATGCAGTAGAGTCGCGCGTCCAAGAACGTTGTTTCCGAGTAGTTAGCCTGGGATGTTCTTATTTTTCAGCAATCTGGCTGCGTTCTTGTAACACGTTCGTAGAAACAATCCGTACTGGATCATATATATCCCACAAGCTGCCAGAAAACCAACACCGCCGTTCTTAGCTTTAGGCTGTGGTGTTCTTAGTATTTCAGGCTGGACGTTCTTCAGCGCGCGACTCTACTGCATGCATCCCACAAAACCAGTACCGAGTTCTTAACTTGTAGGCTGTGGCGTTCTTGGGCTCCATGTTCTTCAGCGCGCGACTCTACTGTATGAAGCAAAGACGAATTAGTCGGTTGATTGGCCCACTTTACAGCATTCTGTACCCGGAAAACGCAAGGGACATTCGCACGTAAACTGCGTGTACAATTGAGCAGAAATTGAGAAAATCGGGAGGGTATGTCACATGTCAGTGGACAGTAGCTATACTGTACATGACAGGCTGTCCCCGTGAATTCCAGGATTGCGCTGTTTGCAGAATTCCGAGAAAATCCCGCTTCATCAAGAGTCCATAAACTGTTTATGCACTCTTGTTAACATGTATCTGCACTGATTCTGCAGAAAGAGTGGGTGGGCGGGCTGAAAAATACTTTTCGTTTTGGAAAAAGAATACTTGAAGTAATTAGCAGTTCCGGACAGCCCCTTTAAATATCGGAAAAAGTGCGGTGCAGGTGTAGAATTCTGCGGCTGATGAAAACAGCAAATTCTGCAAATCATGCTATTGTGTTTGTATATTCTGCGCAACTCTGCGTGGAAAATTAAAAACAGAATCTCCGCAATTGCACAACCGCACCAAAATCAAAAACATTCGTAGCAGCGGGCAAAGAAAGTGAAGAGAATGATTGCCCTCTAGTGCGCCTCTCGGTGCAAGTAGCAGCCGACTGGAGGGTGAACATTGAGGAAAGAAGAGTAAGCTGATGAATACAGCGGAAAGCAAAAATAAAAAGCCTCAAGTTGAGACGAGATTCGAGGGAGTATAACTTAGCGTGCCGCAAAACAAAGACAGTCGGGGTACGGCGAGGGAGACCAAAAACCGTTTTCATGCTGATATGACTTAAAGTAACAAGGCGAGAGTATAAAGATGGTGTAAGACAGTGAGCATACGAGTTGCTGGCGTATTCAATCAGTAGTGGATTGGATGAGGGATAAATAAAATATTCGCTTAGTTGTGTGGTCTACTGTACGGCGGCAGCGGCGGAATGCTCCTATCTTCTTATAAACAGATGTACATACAGTCAACTTCGCTAATAACGACTGCGGATATAACGACAATTCGCGAATAACGACAACATTTCCATGCCCAGAGCAAAGCCTCGGTCCCTTCCAACTGTAATACATATAATGAGACTTCGGGTATAACGACACTTCGCGAATAAGGACACTTTTTTGATGCCCCGCCGAGTGTCGTTATAAGCGAAGTTGACTGTACATGGTTGACTTGATCCTCAAAGGTGAGGTGTTGGTCAATATTCACAATAATCATGATAATGAGGCCAAGATAACGCGCTGTGGCAGAAGGTCGAATATCCTCTGTAATTTCGATATTTTGCTCGGAATTTGCCAGCAATTTCTTTTCGTTGGAAAATAATTAATTCGATATTTTGCTGGAAGAATAGGTCTGCCATATGGCCATGCCGCATGCGCAATACCTCGCATATGCGCCGGCCGGCGCGGCGGCCGCGTTGGCATCGACAGCATGCACGATCGTTGCGCAATTTTTTCTGGTTTCTTTGGCAACACGTGGTGATCACGATTTACCTGCTTTTTTATTTATTCCACTCTCCCTTTTCGTCTCCTTCACAATCACATTGATTTTCTTCTCTCGTTTGCCACAATGGCTTCTTTAGCTTGTGTGCAGGCCAGCAGGCTTTTGAGGTGCCTTCCAGCATCTTGCACAGCATCGGCTGTACGCTATCAGTCCGGCTTTGGTGGCCCACAGGATGGATTTGGCGGCCCTCAGGGTGGATTCGGTGGTCCACAGGATGGATTTGGTGGTCCCCAGGGTGGATATGGTGGTCCTCAAGGTGGATTCGGTGGTCCTCAGGGTGGGTTTGGAGGCCCGCCCAGTGGTTTCCCCCAAGGTGGATTCGGAGGACCCCCGCAACAGGGTGGCTTTGGAGGGCCCCCGCAGCAGGGTGGCTTTGGAGGGCCCCCGCAGCAGGGCGGCTTTGGAGGACCCCAGCAGCAGGGTGGCTTTGGATTTGGTGGAGGTTTTAGGGCAAGACGCAGGGAAACTGCCCCCATTCCAGACAAGGCTCCCTTTGGTCTTCACTTGTCAAGAATTTCCGGCATGAGGGTTGAGGACCTCATGGACGTTTTCAAGGCTCAGAATCCAACTGAGGTGAAGTTCCAGGGAGAAATGAATGCTTTCATTTTCTTCGGCAACCGGGACGACCTAGTCTCAGCCCTGGAACTCAGCGGCAAAGAGGAGATCCGATTCATCCGTGTGGCGACCAGCCTGCGCCTGCAGAGAATCTCCGAGATCGGTGACGATCCACCATTCCGCGCTCACGTCCGCAACCTGCCCCCGGGCATGACGATGGAGGACCTCCAGGAGACCTTCAAGGAATTTGAGCCCGTCAGCGCCGTCGTCATCCAGAATCGCATGACCATGGTGCCGTACGGGTTTGTAGAGTTTAGCACTCGCGAGGCCCTGCTCAAGGCCATCGACCTGAGCATGGACACATCGATCCGTGGCATAGTCGTCAACCCGTCCATCAACCGTGCGTAAGGCAACGGTGTTACCACCAGCCGTGCTGGCTGTATTTGAACTCGAACATGCATGTCCATGTGTCCAGGATATGACTTTGGTATTGGCAAACGGCACTCCTGCTCTTCCCCCAATTTAGGATCATTGTTTAGCGGATACTACCGTTGCTGGCTTCTTGGTGCTAACTTGGATAACCCTGCTTTTATTGTGCTGTTTTTTGTGTGTGTGTCATTGTTTTGATTTTTAAATATTTGTCCTGCATTTGAGGGAATGTTGGCGATAATAGGCTGTTGAACTCCGGCACTTTGAATTCTGTTCATGAGACTGAATGGTTTCCATAGCAAACGATACTCACCTCATAGGGCATTCTTGAAATGTATTGCCGTCTCCGTCCTTGATGGGAAGTCAGTGGCTCAATGTGACCATTGTTTGCTGCTTTGCATTTCCGGCAAAGCCAGTCCGAATTGCATGAGGAGCTGTTCGCCAGAGTGTGCGGTTCTAGATGGTTATGATTCCCTGGTGATTGCTTACTGTGTCTTTTGGGATGGTGTCATGAAATGCAGACAGTGCACAGGGTGTGATGAAGCGATTCATTTCAATTTCCTTTTGTTTGTGCTAGGGCTGAAACGATCGTGGATTTTCAAGTATCGATTACTCTTTAGCTAACGATCGAGTACTCAATTATAATCGTTAGCAAATAGAGTCATAATTCTGTGCAAACATTACTGTTTCCACAAACTATGCCTTCATAATACCAATAAATCTGCATTAGTGAAAGGGTAGCTCCGAAACATGGCAGTTTTGAAGTCAATTTAACCTCAGAACATGAACATAAGTTGCGTCCGGATCTGGGGAGTTTAAAGCTACGGAACTTCACGCTAAAGTCGACGCGAAAGGCTACACAAAATATCTGATCATCAGGAGCATGCGTATGCACGAAAGCGGGAGTTTTGTTTTTATAATTATTATTTCTGTGTATGAACAACGCAGGTCTCGGGAGCTCCTTATAATTATGCTGTATCAGTATGGTCAGCATACAACATGGAACCCTATATATGTAGGGCAAGAGTACATAATGTTATGTACTCCTGCCCACACGTACACGTATAACATATAACACCTTTATTTCGGTGTAATTTAAATTTCGGTAACTTCGGTACTGGTCCTGGATCACCTAATTAATATTTAACATTAGGCCATGGTAAAAAATATCTTTGATTCTCAAGTACGCGCGCATCGATTTTTGGTGGCGCACCGACGATTTTTTTTATTTCTATGCATGCATATGCGTGCATGAAAACGGTCAATGCGAAAGGCATGAATCCGGGAGTAGTAAAATACCGGTATTTTTCTACTCCCTGGCCTGAATAATAAAATAATTATAAATTAATTATGAACCTGTGACGTACACATGTGTGACCCTATCTTTGGAATTAAAAAAATTGTGGGAATTAAAATAAAAAATCGCTCGCTCGCACCGATTTTCACAGGCTCATGACCTGAGAATCAACTTTATTTTTTACCATGGCCTTACACCTAAATTTTCCGAAATACCAAAAATATGTAAAAAAAAATCATGAAAATCACTGTCAAGTTAAAAAAAATCAACTTGTATACTGGTATACCGGTAGTACATTGTACATACATGTACATAACAATGTCATGTACCGGTATTATACATGTACCGGTATGTGGAGCCTTTTGGCCTTGGCGGAGATATGCAAGAGCGTTTTTTTTTTTTTTTTTTTTTTGGTGCCATGCATACCGAATTTATCCTTACACCGAAAGGTCAGGGGTTGGCTTTTACCGAAATTTTACAACACCGAAAATGAGGTGATATACAGTATGTACTCCTGCCTACACGTACACGTATAATTATTACTTGAATGTTTTGTGCACTACATGTACAATAAAATGTACCTCTCTAGTATCTGGGCAAATGGGTTGAACTACTTGTACCCGATCATCTCGAAGTCTGATTTCCTCGGGATGAACGCATCGAAATAAGTTCACTGATCGTTACCTATGGTGGTACCTTTTGCCACTACACTTTCTAGTGAAGGTTACAAGTACATGCTTGGATGGGGATCTCAAATCTGACCTAGCCACCAGGGAGTCGTAAAATACCGGTATTTTACGACTCCCTGCTAGCCACCCAGCCACATTGGTGCAGATGAGCAACATCAACTGCACAGTACAATGGAGACACAAATAGTATAGCGTCGGTGGAATACTATGAATACGAGCTGATCTGCTACAGAAATTATCGTGCAATGTGCACGTCGTGCGCACAGTTGTGCTCTAATGACAAAAAAAAAGACTGGCACGGGATCTGAAAAAGAGAAAAAAGAGAATGTGTTTTGTACAAAGAGAATTTTTTTAAATCAACACAAATTTTGCTAAGAACTCCGATGGTCATCGCGAGCCAAGGGAACATTGTAAAAATTTAATATTACCGATAGGACTATCTACACGATTGTACAGTTTTCTGATGATCGCTTAGTGTGTGAAACTCTGTGTGAAACTCGGAGTAAAACACTTTCTGTCCTCCTATTGTTTGATTGTACAGTAGCTCCACTGAATCCTGCTATTATCAAGGAGTGAAACTAAATTACACTGGACGGTGACCAGAGGTGTAATGTGCTTGCATCAGGCGACCAACAACAGGAGGAAATGGAGAATGAATGATATACAGTACGAAAAAGTAATACACAGATACAATAATTGCAACAACACTGGGAGGCACATATGAGCCATCCACTGCTACAAAATAAAAAAGCACATACTGGTATGTAGACTACTTCAAGAACACAAAATGTCTGAGGTCCTGCCTTGTATGTGTGCAAGAACACGCAGGTGTGGGTTCGGATGACCATCGGCGTGTACGTAATGTCACGTGACTGGGTACATGCTACCAGCCTCAAACCAGCCTCAATACAAAGACTTAGTTACCCCATTCTACGCCATGCGGATGCAAGCGATACTAGTGATACTCCGGCGAGCAGCTGCGAGTATCCATCGCCATAAGCAACGCGCACGGCTGCATGTAGATGGCTATCACAAGTCACTGTCATCGCACAAATCGCCGAAAGCTGCAGTGGCACACAGAAGCCAGCAGAACAAAATACTGTATAACACGTCATTTTCGGTGTAACTTTAATTTCGGTTATTTCGGTAGAGAAACCAGGTACCTAATCTAAATTACACCTAAGGTTATTGTGGCACGGTGTATGCACTGTATGTGAAGGGAACGCTGGTCACCTAATTCTACATTACACCTGAAACCTGGCTGGTCCCTGACACCGACATTTTACTTGACCTAAAAATTACGTGTTATACAATGCATGCACAGCAAGTCAAGCACAGCATGGTATAAGAGGGTCACGGTACGAGCACCCTACGTGTCCTTTCCAGTCAGTTGATCTCGGTTATAAAGTACTGGTTTTTACATCCGTTGGAGGTACGTGACAGTGACGTTTCACTGCACCAGCTACACAATGGTTGATCTACTGTAGTAGCACTGCGTGATCAACCAGGTGCGCATAGGGCAAGGGGGGGGGGGGCACGTGCATTCCCACCTCTTAAAACTTTCGGATTAGGTTCAACATGCACATAATGACCATGAATGACATGCACCAGCCGTCCTACATATGCGGCCGTGACCCCCCCCCCCCCCCCCCCCATAAGAGGGGGACAGGGGCGTACACAGGATCTGGAATGAGGGGGGGGGGGGGGGGGTGCTCGAACCTTTTCCCAAAGAACCGAATAATGCATGATTCCTGTGCATGTGATGCATGGTTGGTTGATATCTTGATTTTTACTGCGCTATTTACCATGATGTACCAAGTTGATGGAAAATGTAGGACCTGTTCTGTAAGATGGAGCAACCATGAGGCCTGCAAGTACCCAATCCCAAACATACCCCTCCCCTTGGAGGACAAACTTTACTTCTTCTGTAAGCTAGATCCAAGAGTACACTACTACTCTTGCTAGATCATATCACGAAAACATTTTCAATTTGACTACTGCTCTTTGAAGCACGGAGTAACAAAATACAAAAATTGGTAGAAATCAGAAACAGCGTCTGAGGTATTCAATGGCAGGGGTCGAGGTTGCGAGCGACCCCTTTAGAAGCCGTAGCATTTGTAGGATTTCAAGGGCCCGAAATAACAAATTAGTACACTTCGTGAACAATCGTTTCGGTCGATTTGTCGGAACAACTGATCGGAGTGTTCTCGGAAAATCGGAATAGAACAAGTCGAGGCCCTGACGATATGGATAGCCTGGATAGTCCTGGCACATTAAAGTACATGTAACACGGGTAACTATGATCAACTAGTGACAGCAAGTGGAAGGCAAAATATCAGTTAGAAAAACCTGATAATTGTGCCACCAAAAAAAAGTCTGGTTTATGAACATCCCCATTTCTTCTTTCAGAGTTTGGGCACAAAACAGGTTTCTAAATATCAAATTCAATCACATCTCAATGAATAGCCTCACTCAAGACCTTTCAATATCAATTTCAATCACATCTCAATGAATAGCCTCACTCAAGACCTTTCAATATCAATTTCAATCACATCTCAATGAATAGCCTCACTCAAGACCTTTCCAATGGGCCGTCATTTGCGTAAATCGGACAATCGGTTGCAAAGTTATGGTACTTTTAGTGGCGTGGGTACATCACGAGGGGGTGCTTGAGCACCCAAAGCACCCCCCCCCCCCCCCTGGGTACGCCACTGGGGAACCAGCTGCGCCCCTGTCAACAGTACACAAAAGTGCATGCAAGCCGTTGCATCAGCGGAGATACGACATCAGACTGGCATCAAGTAGCATACACTCACAGTTTGGAAAGGCAAGGTGCACGGCACGTTCGTTGGAAACATCTCCGAGCTGCAAGTTAGAGGCCTAGAAACAAAGTCAGAGAGCACAGAGCGTGAAGATGATGGGCGACATACACACACATACCAAATTATTCGTTATGTTCCAAATAGAGTTGTACAGGCTGTACCAAGAGTCCTTGAAAATAGCGGGTGATCCCAACAAAAGGTACACATTGTGCGAGGAAAAGATCATCATATATGGGGTTATGCAGCGCCTCCTGTTTGCACTCTCTGCGGGCGGCCAGTTTCGTCCGCTACTACGAGACCTGCAACTGTGACGTAGACCCATGGTGATTACTAGCATTGTCGGTGATGCATGCTGTGATGGTGGAGGTCACTCGCGGCCATGACTCACCGACATGTAGATGCACGTTGTCATACGTGGAGGAGCGTGTGATAAGTAGAGGTTTTGTTGTATCGGCTCCAGAACTAGTGAAAAGCTTCACAGTTGCCTTTTATTCCCTTCATTATTAGTTTCGCTTGGATGATAGCACTGAGGTGCTTCTCTATACTCTCGCCGCATCTCCATTCAGCATTAGTTCTGCCTATTTTGGTGCGTGACGTGCATTGTTCTACTACAAGTATACAACAATTGGATGAGTATTATGTCCGTGTTGCAAGCTTTGTACGCTGCTCATGTATAGCTGCTGCTCCTTTCCCCTCCGTAGCGCAGTGTAGAAAGTTACCAACCCCGCGGCTGTCGTATATGAACCCCTTGATCACTCGCATTGCCATTTATGTCTGACTAGTGTCCTATAAATAATACCGTATTTCCTCGATTAATGGACCATGCTCAAATAGTAGACCCTCCTAGAGGCCTCACGGAAAAATAGTAGACCATGCCCAAATAAGAGACCCGGTCTCTTCAAATAAGAGACCCGGTCTCTTATTTGAGTTCATCGCTTTGCGCATGCGCACTAAGAAAGCACGTGGTGGATAAAAAAGGACGCGATTTTAGGTTGCGCAACTACAATTTTTGTAGTGGCTAGTGCTTTCTTTCATTATTTGAGCACGGTCCACAATATAAGTTCTATATTATGACGTGTTAAAAATCCACCATTTCCAGCGATGTGCCGATGAAAATATTGTGGACCGTGCTCAAATAATGGACCATGCCCAAATAAGAGACCGGGGGTCCAACCCTCTTCAAAAAACAAAAGACCGGGTCTATTAATCGAGGAAATACGGTAAGTGACCTCATGCATAGACCGAGGTCAAACATTATCACAAACACGAATCCAGATCCACTACAGAAACATGTAGAGAGTTTTTTTTCGTTCGGTTCTATTTTAAGTCAGCCGTGAGAGGTTTGCATTTTCTCTGCTTTCGCCGTGAGTTATCAAAGTAAGTTGAAAGTAAGAAAAGATCAACGTTGTCGTGTAAGTTTTGTCATGAGCAAACTGGGCTCCCGGTTCGTCAACAACAAATAGGTAGCAGAGGATGATTTTACCAGAGTGATCCACGAATAGTTGAGACGGAGCAACACGGCTCCAACGAACCGCAGGAATCCAGGAGTGAGGCTCAAACTTCGGAAGTAAATGACGATACTGCAAGCACCTGCGGAGATCAGGACGCTGAGCAAACATCCGATGCGCCACCTGCGCAAGGTGGGTCGGGTGAAGCAGGGTCGAGCATCAGTGCGCTCCGGGCCAGGAAGACACAGGACCAGAAACAATTCACAAACATATGACGAGGGCTGATAGTAAAAGTCCAGCAAGTGCAGATGCGATGCACGGACGATGGTAGTTATTTCGATGTCGAAAAAGAAACGAACAAGCTCGAAGGAGCGTATCAGAGAGCCGAAGGGACAATCAGGGCTCCCAGTTCGTCTACAACAGGGTGCAATGTCGCTGACCATGCTGCCAGGCGAAAAGCCCGCACACATCAAAAGTAGGGTATAAACGCGATTGTATACAATAGCTTGCTTTCAGTGCATTTTCCCAAAGTTGACTGAAGCGTACGATAGAGTTTTGTTGGATAGAGCTTCTGTGATCGTTACCAATGTATCGTGACGCTACGAACGCGGCACTCAGTTGTGCGCTTTGCTCCTCGTGATAGAGAGCATCCTTTCAGTGCTTTCACCCCGGGTTCCAGTTCATTCTTTGCCAGGTTTAGATGAGAGCAGAGCAGAGACGTTTTGTGCAGAGGAGATTGCTGAAAATCTCATCCGACTGGGCAATCGTTGTTTCCGTTGTTGAAATCGACGAGAGCAAGTATTTTCATAGGGGCAGTTTCAAGTACAGAACCGAATGCATGCCATTTTCGGGACACAACACTACCACGTACATTGCACAGCTGTAGTGCTTGCAGTAGGGTTCATTACTTGGCCATACAACAGAGTGAACAGACCAAAAGTTTGGGACACTAATCTTTAGGATGGCAGTACTGTCGGGTACTGTAGAACCGGGGGGGGGGTCAGCCTCATAGCCCAGGCCGTTCTTACTTTCATGTACAGTGAACTTCGCTAATAACGACTGCGGATATAACGACAATTCGCGAATAACGACAGACTTTCCATGCCCAGAGCAAAGTCCCATCCAACTGTGACACATAGAATGAGACTTCGGGTATAACGACACTTCGCGAATAAGGACACTTTTCTGATGCCCCGCAGAGTGTCGTTATAAGCCAAGTTGACTGTACTACAGTCTATGCACAGTTGAGTCACCGTGTATACGTTGGTATGCTGTGCTTGTTGAAATTCTAGCCTGTCCGTTCCTCGTCACCCGACAGTATTGTACCCTGGTTGCTGGTATTTCACTTGATGAAAATGCATGAAAACTGGACTGTAAAAGTTCCTTGAGTCCTTGAGTCCCGATGAGGGTGGTAGAGAGCTAAACAATTGTACTTTTCCGGCTGTGATTACCTAGTGCCAAGAGTTACCGGACTCTTGCTACTGCTACAGTGCTGCTAGCCAGAGAATTCCAACCTCATGAATAATGCGTCACGTTCAAGTGCACAGACCAGTGTGTGTAGTTCTAGGGCCGCGTAGCGCCCGGCGCTATTTTATTCATGAGGTTTGGATTTCTTTGGCCAGTACTGTACTTGAAGTATTTGCTAGTACTAGTAGTAGTGTAGTACTGTGATTTATAATTGCCTGTAAGCATGCGTTGACTTCGGATTCCTTTATTCATTTCTCGGCATAAACATGGATTTTTGAACCATTTTTCAATAAAGTTCTTTGACTACTTCAAGTATACTGATATAATTCCCCCACCGGTATGCAGTTGTGAATTATGGCCACGTACCTGTGCATCGACGGCTTCAGTCTCTTCCAGACCAATCATGTCCTCAGACATCATGGGGTCCACTGCCTGAAGTCTACTCATGACGTCTTTATGAAAGTTCCTTGATGTACTCATCTTGAAGCCAAACCTACACACCAAAGTTTGTTTACCGAGTTCACGAAAGGAAAGTAGACAGCTCGAGAAGACAGGTGAAGTAGGAAGAAAGAGATCTCGCAAGATAGACAGAGCTAGAGAGAGAGAACTGAAATTTTGAATCAAAATCAATCAATCAATCGATCGATCTGATCACAGCTGATTTGGAGCTCCAACATCTTTTTTCGAAAAGCAGCATGCCACCCGAACGCCGCGCCGCGCCTTCCGCCGCGCCGCACTTTGAAACTTGGTGGTGTCGACGCATGAGTTGAGTATCCACATTTCACATGTATTGGACTGTTTGAGTGGAAGCCAGAGTCAAATGCGAAGTACGGAAGACGCTCGGTGTCGATGTCTTGCACAGACTTGCAGCGCTACACTACACTGCACCCAGCACAGCTAGCTGGCCTTTGCTTGGTCGAGCAAATAAACAACGTTTTGGAATATCGAGTGTTCAAACTCAAAGCCTCAAAATAATAGTCGGGGCTAGCTGCAGGGATGGCGGAGCCTGAGGAAGGTGAAGCACCCCACAGGCGCAAAGACCCGAGTGGCTGGGATGGCGTTGCTGAGCGCCTCTTGGATCACAACTACCTGCTGTCAGCGCTAGAATTGTATACTGAAAGCCTTGAAGCAGGTCGTGAAATTCCCAGATTGAGAGATTTCTTTTCAAATCCTGGCAATTTCGTACCAACACAACCTCAGCAACTGAGTGGCTTGGGTAAGTGGTTTGAACTGTGGCATTGAAATCGACACGGGGCGTGAATTTCTTTGGTAGGAGGTATATCTGGCGTTTTCAATTCTTCACAGCAATGACAGATTTCCTCGATCATGCATGCTACGAACAGTGCATACACGTACTATACATCTGGCCTCACTGTTATAATGCACTCTCTCTAGTACTCAATCTGCGGACGGAACTGTTTCGTCCTTTGTGGACTCGGCAGCGCAGCACAGAGAAAACGAGGCCGAACCTGATAGCAATGAAAAATGATTTTTTTCCAAATATTCAGTAGTTGAGAGAAATTTTTCCAAAGCCAGATTATCTACAACAGAACAACACAATACATGATGTATCATCGCACGATTCAGCCGACACCCAACGTCCGCATTGGCGGGTGTTGGAACTTTTCGAACCTTCTCCGTCTGTCTTTATAGCAGCACATGTCCCAGGCCTATGAGAATTACATTCCACTAGCATATCGACCCGTCATTCTTCCACCGTATACTAAAACATTCATTGGTTTGAGGGAAAGATGCAAATGGGAAAAGTCCGAAGAAGACTGTCACCACCAGGACTCGAATACCAAAAACCCGTATGTTTTTTTGTACGGTCATCCATCACAATGAGCCAGAGTTAGTATATGGAGGAAGTAGAATGTGAGAACATACCAACGCAATGAGTAGTCTGAGAAAATGTGAACATTTGGAGAAGCCTTCTTCTATTATAGGAGATTTTCCGAGTACTTTCCAAGCTCTCCGAACTTAGGAGGTGGTTGAAAGTTGGAGATTCCCATGTTTATGGATCTATGCATGTGGACTGCCACAAAATACACGCGTTTCCAGGCGTGACAGAAGAGGTCATGTACCGTACTGATGTCTCTTACGGTCGCGGCCCGCTTGGCCGTGTACCCTCCAGAGATCGTTGAGAATAGGATAGAGATCCGTTCTTTTATTCCGTCTGTTTCTTCGTCTTCCAAGAGAAATCTCTCGAAGAACCAGCTGACAGAAAAGAAGTCACCGGAGGCTTTTGTAGCCTGGACACGTTACCCTTGCGTTCGTCGAAGGGCTGGCTATTTCAAGTATTTGTACCGTACTTACATGCACAAGCGAACAGGTGCTTATATGCGAAAAGTCGCTTCTTTTGGCAGAATTGAGAAGTATTGTTTTTGCTGACGTAGAAGCCTGCGTGCATAGTATGGATGTGCACCAGGCCATAAAATGCACATGGCCCTTTATGGGTGCAGAGGCCAGTCTTCATGCACTTTCATGTGTGCTGGTTTGGTCATGCATGGGCGTTCCCTGCTTGGGTGAAAAGGGATTCTGGCGTAAATTGTTAAACATGTGAATTATGTAATAAACGTTTTTGTTCAAAATTTAGCACACCTGCTTATATTCGGATATACGCACATGCACTTGCCATGGACTGCTTTCCTTACCTTGTCTGTATGAGGCACCTAAAACCTGATCAAGAGACCACCTGGTTTCTGAATGCGACCACTTAGTCTTTTCTTTGGTCCCTACGGTGTGCTGGAGTCACGTTGGTTTCAGAGACGCGATGGACTACAGTCCGTTTATCTGAAACTGCTGTCCTAACCTGTTGGCGGAAAATTTGCGGGAATCTTGCCAAAATCACGGATTTCTAAGAAATCTGGGGAAATTTTGCATCCGTTGAATCTCAATTTTCCCCGAGGACAGTAAGATTGGTGCATTCCTCTCGTTTTGCTGCTGCAAGATGGCATTGCTCTGTTCTGCTGCTGGGCTGTTCTTTTTTGATATGCGTTTCACGGACAAATCGCCAGCATGCGCCACCTGCCTTTGATTGTGGTCTGGAACTGATATTCTAGTTGGTTTTATGAAGCCTGGGACTTGCAGACATTGAGATCCCTAAGTTGCAGCTTTTGTTTTTGTGTCCAAGATATTCTGGGGCTTGTGGGTACATGTATCTGATGTTGTGTTTATGCGTCTGCTGTTTTGTTGTGCTGCATGTGTGCTCTGTGTGTGTGCATGTGTGCGCATGTTTGCGTGCACGCGTATGTGTGTGTGTGTGTGTGTGTGTGTGTGTGTGTGTGTGTGTGTGTGTGTGTGTGTGTGCTGGGTGTGTGTGTGTGTGTGTGTGTGTGTGTGTGTGTGTGTGTGTATGTGTTGACCTACAGTACGCTCTGCGAGTTGCTCCACGTTTGATTCGCTGGACGTGTCTCGCTACTCTGACGATGGCAATGAGCCAGGCGATGACCGTCTGGCCGTGCTCGAGTTTGAGCTTCGCAAAGCCAAGGAGACGATAGCGTCGCTGCGCGGCAGTCTGACGCATGCCGCCGGTAGGTTGTCGTATGCTCCACCATGTGTCTTGTTCCGGCACCAAATGTCTCGGCCCGCTCGTAGAGAGTTCAGCAGTGAATGCTAAATGCCACTGTGTGATGATCACTGAAATGCGTGAAGCTTGAAGTTACGGTTACGCAGTCTTTCGCCTCTGTTGTACGTGTGGCTTGTTCTGATGTACCCATGGCCATGGGTGGCTGAATGGCTGATGATGTCACTTTCACTATTGCCTGTACAAGTACTGAAGTAGCGCTCTTTGATCACATATACTGCTATGAGCCATACTGCAAGTGAGCCATTTATGCCATCATTATGACGTCGTGAGTCAGTAGTTATGACATCATGGCATTTTCTAATCCAACTAATAGCCGTCTCTCTATGTACTTATGTGATATCTGTCGAGACCATGCAAAGAACAAGACACATACACACACATACTACCAATGAATATACCTGAGCTTCTACCGTACACACGCGCACACACAGTCGTGCTCAGACACACATGCACACACGTACACGTGTATACACACATGCACATTCTCTTGAAGCATGAGAGAGAGAGAGAGAGAGAGAGAGAGAGAGAGAGAGAGAGAGAGAGAGAGAGAGAGAGAGAGAGAGAGAGAGAGAGAGAGAGAGAGAGAGAGAGAGAGAGAGAGAGAGAGAGAGAGAGAGCAGAATGTTTGCATGTGGTCACTTGCATCAGTTGGGTTGTAGAAATTATAGAATAGAGGAAATTTGATAACCCCATGGATTGTGTGTCTTACAAGCAGTGACAGTGTTTTGTGTATGTGTCATCCACGTCCTTGCCATTCACAATGTACATGTAACTGGTAAAATAACTGTTAAACTGTTGAATTATTGTGAAAAGAAGAAGGACAAAGTGTGACGAGTTATGACTAACTGTCCACCAACGTAACCAGATCTTATACAGTCAGCGAGTGCGACAAAATGGCACACAACTGACAAGGAATACTGAGACATTCTTCTTTTCACAATAATTTAATTGGCTCACCATCCGAGTTAAACTGTTGAATTGTTCATTGTTGTATCCACACTTGCCATGTTCTTGCCATGCGCTTGCCACAGCCGGTCGTGTTCGCCGAAAGTCTGCCGCCTTCTTGTTCTCAGGTTTGTGTGCATTGGCACTCGTGTGTGTGTGTGTGTGTGTGTGTGTGTGTGTGTGTGTGTGTGTGTGTGTGTGTGTGTGTGTGTGTGTCACTGTGTGTGTGTGTGTGTGTGTGTGTGTGTGTGTCACTGTGTGTGTGTGTGTGTGCGCGCGCGCGCGCGCGTGTGTGTGTGTGTGTGTGTGTGTGTAGTGTGTAAGATAGTAAGAGGGAGCGAATGTGTGAGAAAGCACTGATGATGTTAATCCACTGATCAGGTTTCAAAGCCTTGCCATCCATGAACATGTCATGTACTTCTCTGCCTTGACGTGTCAAACGTTTTGCATTGCGTTTATCTCTGACGATTGTCCTATAATTTTGAGCCGTCTAACCGAATAAACAAGTGACACTTTTTAAAGCTCTACTGAATTCAATGATTGCCCATCGGTCCTTTGTGCCATACACAGTCTGTCAGCCAGCTAGCCACTGCATTTAAGAGACCACCCACCTCGGGCACCATGCCATGCCTCTCAACGTACATTTTTGACCTGTGTAGAGAGACCACCTGTGTAGAGTGACCACCTTTGTAGAGAGACTTATTTTCTCTTCACCATGGGTTGAACTGCAAGATGTACCACTGACTTGACCCTTTGCCATGTTCAAAGTTGTTGTGCGTGCATTTTTAGCTTTTGGTAATGTTTTTTTCCCCCTATTGTTGGCTGAGTGTGGCAATGCATGCTTTCGGAGATAAGAGCTGTTCGAAACAGATGTACAGTCAACCTCATGAATACCTCCCTCTAGTGTTACTAGCAACAATTCGTGAAGAAAAGGAACTATCTTCAGAGTTCTGAAGAAAATGTTGAACGGTCTCTCCTGGGATGACAGCTACACCATAGCTCATTGGTTAGAGCATCGCTGGCCTCAAGCGAAGGTCCCTGGTTCGAGTCCTGGCGGTGACAGTCAATATTTTCTTCAGACTTTTCCCGTTTGCATCTTTCTCTCAAACCAATGAATATCGTCAGGCCTAGTAACCGTTTGCTCTGCAATACCGCACCGCTGTGTGCTGTAGTTGTGCTGAGATATCACTATACAGTCAGACCTCGCTTATCCGGTCCTCTTTTACCCGGATCCCTCGCCATCCGGAAGAAAATAGCTGGTTACAGATTTACAACATACATACGTGATGCATCCAACGTAACCGGTGTTCAGGTATCCGGTTCCCTCGCCTATCCGGATAATTTGTGGAAAACGGATGCGTGCGGTTGAGCGAGGTCTGACTGTACTATACTGGGATGTTGATTCAATGAATGCGTCTGGGATGGAGCTTGACTCCACTTCTCTCGTTGCTGATTGGTGGCCATGTGTTTGAGATGTTATCTGTGTGTGCCTGGTCTTTGTAGAAACTGAGCAAGTGCCGAGAGACACGAATGTCCAAGCAGTTGTGGTGAGTGCATACCCATGGTCGTACCGTGCCCCAAATTTCTCACAATGACTACGGATTTTTTTATACGTCGTTTTTGAGTAGTGAAATGTTCCGGAGTACGAAAATTATGTGTTTGCCGTCATTGCCTTAGTTACAATCGCAAACACGTCATATTCCCGCGCTATGCCTTTTTATTTTGAAAATTTGTACCAAAATCAAAAGTTCCTGCGGAAAATCGATGTTTCTCGTACCAAATTTGTACCCGAAAAATCTTTCTGCACTCGATGACGCAAAACCTCCATACGAAAACATGGTTCGTATGAAAGCCAGTCCACATTCTCCGTGCCGAAAAATTGCATGAAGCACGCCTCGAACAAATCCGTAGCGTCCGTACGGATTTTGGCACGGAAAATCGTACCCCGGAACCTCTCTTATAACACTATTGTCTCCACTGTTGATTGCTAACGCCCACTTCCTGGTTTGTATGATTGCACTTGCCGGAAACTCCGAATTTGACGTCCAAGTGAACTCTCTGCCTCTGGGTGTGTGTGTGTGTCTCTCTCTCCCTCTGTGTGTGTGTGTGTGTGTGTGTGTGTGTGTTTCTCTCTCTCTCTCTCCCTCCCTCCCTCTCTCCCTCCCTCCCTCCCTCCCTCTCTCCCTCCCTCCCTCCTTCCCTCCCTCCCTCCCTCCCTCCCTCCCTCCCTCCCTCCCTCCCTCCCTCCCTCCCTCCCTCCCTCTCTCTCTCTCTCTCTCTCTCTCTCTCTCTCTCTCTCTCTCTCTCTCTCTCTCTCTCTTCGCTCTCTCTCGCTCTCTCTCGCTCTCTCGTGTTGTTTCCAGGAAACGGCCAAACCACACGAAGTGCGCGCCCTCAACTTCTTAACCAACCAGTTCCTGCTGAAAACTGGCATGCGTCTGACTTCCATCACCTTCTCTGATGAAGTAGAGGCTCAGGTATGTGCTGTTGCAACCCAACATCACTCTTGTCCTGGGTTGTTATGTGCTGACTTTAACCCCTTGGAGTCCATGGTTCGATTTCGAACCATGGGCATTTTGTATGCATGTGGGTGCAGTCAAACTTTCGGTTCTCGGCCAAATCAACAATCGAAGGGTCTAGGTGGTAGAGAAAACTCACAGCTATCGCCTCGAACAGGTCCGAAGTCTCTCCGATGAAGTTTGAGTAATCGGCGAGCGATCGAACATTTTGAATTTTCTGCGCTGCGTGCTGCGAGTCAGCAGTGCGTGAAAAAAGGGATTTTCCCAGCTTCATGACAGGCGGCACGTGCCAGGACCGGCGCGGCGTGAAGTCACGGCAAGGTAAGCTTCTACTCGAAAAAATTTGAACAGTTCCGAGCTAGAGTCAGTGAAATGGCTACAGGAGACCGATTTCGTCTCAGATCTGGAGCTGGACTCGCGTTTGGAGCGCGTTGTGGCGGACAATGAGTATTGCTCTTGGCGAGTTTGGGCTCATTGTATTTCTCTCATCAAGAGCTTCCCAAGGAGCCCAAGATCTTCAAAATCGGTGAAGTAGAACCAAAGTTATGTTTGAAATTGAGCGCGCATTTTCGTCACTGCCACAAATTCCGAGGAAGCAAAAAAAGCTATGGACTCCAAAGGGTTAAGTTGGATGCATGGCTTGGTGTGATAGCCCTGTGCTTGAAACACCATTCCACAATCAAACCCCTTTGTGTTTACATCTGCACCTGCACGGTGCATGGCTATTTACTGATGGAAGCACTTGCGCTGCTGCTCTTTGCAGGACCTGGAGAGCTGGGACAATGTCGGTCTGGACACGCCCCAGCCGCCAGAGCTGCTGCAGCTCTACCGCAACTACAGTTCCCACGTCGCCTCCAACTTCACCGTGCTTCAGGAGAACGAACGCCTGGTAAGTGCTAGCTTGTGGTGAGAGAGAGGAGGGAGACCGAGACGGAGAGAGAGAGAGGGGGGGGGAGAGGGGGGGGGGGGGGCAGGGAGAGAGAGAATGAGAACATTTTTACGTTTCCTGGTTATTTTATTGGATACAAGACTGACGAATTCAGTGAGCGGTGTGTACTGCAGATATTCTTGGAAGTTATGTGTTCATATTGATGTTATGTATTCGGACCCGTTTAATGGCATGGACGTTTGATTCCTGGTGTGTTGGAGGTCTATCCCCATCACAGCATGTCCAGATTACATCCATTTGAGTTTGATTTGTGCACTCACTTTTTTCTTCTTTTTTTCTTTACTTACATCACGCACTTATCCCTACATTGGTTGGTTGCTTTCCTCTACTCACTCGTACCCCATGGCAGGCTAGCGAACTGACCGCGCTTGAAGCCGAGCTCATAGCGCTGCGACGGGAGAACGAGAAGTCGCAAGCGAGGATTCGAGATCTCGAGAAGCGGTGAGCCTCTCTCTCTCTCTCTCTCTCTCTCTCTCTCTCTCTCTCTCTCTCTCTCTCTCTCTCTCTCTCTCTCTCTCTCTCTCTCTCTCTCTCTCTCTCTCTCTCTCTCTCTCTCTCTCTCTCTCTCTCTCTCTCTCTCTCTCTCTCTCTCTCTCTCTCTCTCTCTCTCTCTCTCTCTCTCTCTCTCTCTCTCTCTCTCTCTCTCTCTCTCTCTCTCTCTCTCTCTCTCTCTCTCGCGTCTGTGTGTTTGTTTTTACAATGTACTTGTATCTAATATTTTTGTCTGTGTAGTGCCATGCATCCACATCGATAGGATACTGTTGCCGTTAACTTCAAGCTGACCTTCTGGTGTTGTAATGCGCGGCTCGTGCGTTGACTGGATCTCCGATCTGGCACACGGCTCATTGCTATCGTATTGTCTGGAGTGTAAGCCACACTTTAAACAACACGAATTCACCCACTTCGATGATCAAATGAATGGTGATAAACAGGCTGGGTGTCTGTATTTCGTGACAATAAATCTGGGTGCGACTTATGCTGCAGTTTTGCCTATACTCTGGAAAATAGGGTAATGTCTTACGAACACCGTTGCATCGTGTTGTCTATCTTGTGATGTGTTGCTCCACATCAGCCGTGCCAACACGTCGACAGCGGGCACGAACTCCACGCCGCCGCCGTCGATCACCGTCATTGCCAGCAGTGAGAGTCGCCACACCGTGGCCGAGCCCATCATCGAGGTGCCGAGCAACACTAGCATCGGCGGCCAGTCCACCACCACACTGGAGGAGTCGCACACGTCCCACACACAGGTTGACTTCACCACCACGTCGAACAGCACCGACCAGGAAGACACGACGACGACAACGACGCAGGAAGGTGACAACGAGCAACAGGAACCGCAGCACGCGGACAACGCCAGATCGGGCTCGTTGGGCGAGATCACTGCCGAGGCGGTCGTCACCGAGGCAATGGTGTGTGGTGGGCCGGTAACTGCTAAGTACTACAGTCAGACCTCGCTTAACCGCACACATCTGTTTTCCACAAAAAAATCCGGATAGGCGAGGGAACCGGATAACCGAACACCAGTTATGTTGGATGCATCACGTATGCTGTAAATCTGTAACCAGCTATTTTCTTCCGGATGGCGAGGGATCCGGATTAAAGAGGACCGGATAAGCGAGGTCTGACTGTAGTATTGCATAGCGCAGTTTTGAGGGTGATTTTCTTGGCGCATATTCTGACATGTTACTTCAACGTAAGCAAATGTGCAGAATTCAACTTTGCACTCTGGTATAGTGTTGTGGAAAGTTAAAGCCTGATCTTGGTCTGTGGAAACTGATGTGCCCGTTGCGAAGTCTATTTCGGATTTCTTTGCCTTTGGCAGCAACTTGTTAACATGGGCTAGCGCCAGTGCTGAATGCTCTCTGGCTGCAGTATGCAGGCTTGGCACGCAGCCTTGGAACCTTGAAAAGGCCTGGAATTTGAATATAAAACTTGTTCAAGGTCTTGAAAAGGCCACATGGAAATGGTCAAAAATCATTGAAAACTACACGTGTATGTAGTCTTGAATTTTTGAATTTTCCGTGGTGCGTGCTTACCATATGTTTGCATCGATTTGAGCTGCTTACTTTCCAAGTCACCTATTCACCCATTCATTCATTCATCCATTCATTCATCCATTCATTCATTTTTCCCATGTTTTTTCTGTGACAGTCAACAGCGGACACTGGACGCGTGACTGCCGAATCGCCGAGTGCTGGTGACCCAATGGCGCGCCAGATCTCCCTGCGCAACAGCCGCTCCATGTCGACCGCTTTCCGCCAAGCTCTCCTGGCGTCGTCTCAGACGAACAACGACAGCCGCCTTGCCAAGGAGGTAGGTGTTGTGTGGGCGGTTATGTGTGTGTGTGGGGGGGGGGGGGGGGGTGGAGGTGGGGTGTATGGGGGGGGGGGGGTAGGGGGATTCATTGCTAGTGCTTACGTGGTGTATCGCTGCCATACGGCAATGCTGTATTCTTTGTCCAGAGTGAACTGAAAGAGTGCTTTTTCTGTATTCTAGATACATACTTGTGATATTGCTTTGGAAACCTGACACCATGTGCATCTTAGCAAGTGTTTAGCTGGGTGCGTGCATTCCTGTGCTAGCACGTACCAACATTCATGCTACCGTATTATTTCTAATATAAGCACGGTCCTTTATTTTTCAATGTACCTCCGCCCCGTGCTATTAATGGAGACGTTCCTTCATTGGAGACTGTTCCATTATTATTTCAACCTCATTTCAGAGGCATGTTGCCATGCCAAATTCATGTATGACACACACATTTCAGGGTTTTTTTTCGCCGGTACAGATAGTGAATTTACACAGTGTGCTTATAATGGAGTCTGAGCGCTTTATTTTTTGAATGCCGCCCCAAGGTGTTCTATTATTGGAGACATGCTATTATTGGAGACTGTGCTTATACTAGAGATAATACGGTAACTTACTCTACTTGTCAATTGGGATGGCATGCCGGCCACTTTCCGGACGTAGCGCTCGGAAGCCGTACTTCGCCACCGCCCTGCTCGTCGTATCACCGCTTCACGTGTACGCCTGGACGCCAGGAGTGTCGCCCCAGCAATGCGCATGGAGTGGGAGCTCACCTGGTTACAGTTGAGAGCCTGACGGAGTATAACATGGCCCCAGCTGGCCTGGCGCCACCGTCCCAAAACCCACTGTCTGTCATAATAACCACCGAAGCCAACATCTGAAGCGTCGGTAAATCGATCAAGATCAGGGGATTTGGACCACTCGAGGTCATGAAAGAATGAACGGCCATTCCAAGTGGCAGAAAACCTGTGTCACCACTCAATGTCCAGGTGAGCTTCAGCATCGAGGAGCTATGCAGCTCAAGTCGATGAGACGCCAGATGAAGGTCCGACCAGGAGGCACCACCGCGGCAGCAAATGGAAGCGTGCCTATAGAAGACCGTAGTTCTCTGAGGATACAATGCTGAGGATTCCCCTCCCTCCACAAATTTATTTGCCACCTCTACCGCATGGGCATCGGCGACGGCGAGCCACTCCTGTCTGTCGTCCGAAATATTCTCGCCTTTTCTCAGGTTCTTCGTAGCGCTTTTCAGCCAGTCTGACTTCAATGCCCTCCGCACCTTGTCCAGGCGCTCCTGGAGCCGGGCATTTACAACGTGTTGGTGCTCATACGCCACGTTCCTCCATTTGCTGGGGCCCGTTGAGGTGGCACGAGCACGAGAGCGATGGTGCTGACGGCGAGCCTTCTTGCCGGAATTTTTTGATTTTTTAATTTTTTTTGGATCTGGATCTCCTGGGGCTGGGTGAACTACTGCTGGTACTTGACGATGATCGGGATGACGACGACAACGATGACGGCGGAGAACGTCCGCCGCATGGAGACTCCGTGATTTGGGCCTCGAGCAGCTTGATACGGGTTGCCTGCTCCTCCAGGCGTGCCGCAGCCACATGTACCTTGTTCGCGTTCTGCTGCACGTCATACTGCAGTCGTGCGGTGCGGGCTCTGCGCTTGCAGCACGACTTGTCCTTTTACGGTGAGGCATGTTCGCAAAAGGATCTTGAAAGTTGAAAACGGGATTGGAAAGGATACTACACTTGTAAGGCAAGAAGAAAAAGAATGCCGCAGCCACAGCGCATGCGCTGGGTGTCCACTGTAAGCATGAGAGAACCCTTCCCGTGACGAATCACATGCCGAACGGTGCCATCCATAGTTTTATTCATACGGCTGAAGCGGTCAGCTGGAATACTGTCAGTAATGCTGTGGCCAGTTCTCGGAAGCGAGTAATCATAATAGGTTCATCCTGCATTTCAGCGGCCCGTTGCCCCCAAAACCATTGTCCTTGGTAGAAACCGCCGAAGCCAACAACAGAGGCAACCGTGAATATCTCAAGGTCAGGGAACTTTGGCCACTCGACATCATGGAGGAATGATTTGCCATTCCAGTTTGCAGCAAAGGAGCGCCGCCATTCGATGTCCATGTTGGCTTCTGTGTCAATGTTGATTACTGACTGAAGAGACGGAGCTGTGCAGCTTAAATCGATGGGGCGGCGGATGAAGGTCCTGCCAGAAGGCACCACCTTGGCGGCAAAGGACAGGGTGCCTATCAGCGACAGCAGTTCCCGCTTTGTGCAGCTAGTGTGTGTTGACCACTCACTCAAAGCCGCTAGAATGGCAGATAACTTCTCGTGAGGTAGCCGTATCACCTGCTCCACGCTGTCGACTTCTATGCCTAGTACCGTCACCACTGTTGCTGGGCCGACCACCTTATCGGCGCCAGTGGCGACTGGGATGCCGAGGTTGTCAAATACCTGCAGAACCGTTGCTTTCAGTTTAACTCATTCCATTGACCACATAAGCACCAAGTAGTTTTATACCCAGAACGACTGGGTTGATGATTTTCTCCCTGAGATAGTGGAATACCATGTGTACAGCAGAGATGGTGCATAACGAACATACCGTGACTATAAAATCTTCATACCCACATCGAAGGCCACAAGCGTTTGACAACCATAACTGATACATAGATGATCAACGATCGTCCCTGCACTCAAAGTCGCTCTAGCAGTAGTAGCCAGTTTGGATAATTACCACCCTACGTTGTCGATGTAAACACTGGCTAGATTTTTGGCAGATGATCACAGCCATTTCTGAGTTGGCTGTCAACGCCAGTCGCTATGTTGAGGCCAAAATAACTGGTCCTCTGCTCTGAGTAGTCCTCGGTTGGCCTTATAAACTCCAGGAAATTCACTACTGCGACGGTGAGCTTCCCTATCTACCCACTCAACAAATAAATATTTCAACCAAGCCTGATTGATCGCGGTTTGAAGTTCAGCGCTTGTCTACGCAGCCTAGCACAACTGATTCTCTTGTAGAGAAAATACCAGCCTGACAAGAAAAGCACTTGTCCGCAGGGAAAGACACACCAAACTACACTCAACTATCTACTGCAGCGCGTATAACATGGTATAAAGGCCACAGTAGCAGCAGTGCAAGAAAGACCATCACTGCGCATGTACCCCTGTGGGCTAACTTGGCATTAATACTCAAAGCCGGCATTTAACAGTCGATATCCTAGTGGCAGCACTCGTGATGTCATAATCCCAGAGTCACATTCCAGTTGTTCATGTCGCCATTGGCTACATGTCCAAGATAATGCATTGCTGCTGTGTTTTGGTCTGTGTGTGTGTGTGTGTGTGTGTGTGTGTATGTGTGTGTGTGTATGTTGCGCTCAGGTGACAAAGCTAATGAGCGGTGGTCAGGACTGCGTTGTCGTTCTCGGCCGTGCTCTGCCACACATCGTACCTAACGTTCTACTCAACAAGAGAGATGTAAGTGATGTCATTGTGTACAGCAGGCCAATGCATGTGATGTCATGACTACAACATGTTAATGCATGTGATGTCAGAGTACAACTTTTGATCCTCTCTTTTTTTTAATTGTAATCGTTGGCTCTCCGTCCGAGTGGGATAATGTTCACTGATTGTTGCTGGTGTGTGGTACAGGAGCTGATTCCGCTGCTGCTGTGTGCGGCTACGCTGCATCCGGGAAGAGAGGGATCGCGACCAGCTGCTAAACTTCCTCTTCAACCTGATCAAGAAGCCGAACGCAGAGCAGAGGTGAGTGCACAGTAAAGGTTGAATTAAAAAAAACACTGGGATAGCAAGTACATTTATCAACTCCAGTAGCTGTAGATAAGTAAATGGCCAGGTTAGCAAGGCCGAATCAGAATTCTGTGCAATTTTGGCTGAAAACTCTCAGATTTACCGCTGAGTGCAACATCCCAATGATCTCTCTGCTGTGATTGCTTTTGCTGTGTGCTCAGGCAAATGATCATCACAGGTTGTGTGGCATTTGCCAAGCACAATGGCCCTATTCGGTTGGAGGCTGAGCTACTACCGCAGTGTTGGGAGCAGGTAAAGGCAACATGGACTCTCTTCTGTCTCTCTGTCTCTCTGTCTCTCTCTCTCTCTCCTCTCTCTCTCTCTCTCTCTCTCTCTCTCTCTCTCTCTCTCTCTCTCTCTCTCTCTCTCTCTCTCTCTCTCTCTCTCCTCTCTCTCTCTCTCTCTCCCCCTCCCTCCCTCCCTCCCTCCCTCCCCCCTCCCTCCCTCCCTCCCTCCCTCCCTCCCTCCCCTCCCTCCCTCCCTCCCTCCTCCCTCCCTCCCTCTCTCTCTCTCTCTCTCTCTCTCTCTCTCTCTCTCTCTCTCTCTCTCTCTCTCTCTCTCTCTCTCTCTCTCTCTCTCTCTTTCTCTCTCTCTCTCTCCCCCTCCCTCCCTCCCTCCCTCCTCCCTCCCTCCCTCCCTCCCTCCCTCTCTCTCTCTCTCTCTCCTCTCTCTCTCTCTCTCTCTCTCTCTCTCTCTCTCTCTCTCTCTCTCTCCCTCTCATGCTTCAAGAGAGAGAGAGAGAGAGTGTGTGTGTGTGTGTGAGTGTGTGTGTGTGTGTGTGTGAGTGTGTGTGTGTGTGTGTGTGTGTGTGTGTGTACACGTGTATGTGTACATGTGAGCTGCGGAAGCTCGGGTGTATTCATTGGCATTATGTCACTGATTGTGTATGTGTCTTGTTCTTCCCATGATCTCGACAGATATCACATAAGTATGTCGAGAGACGGCTACTTGTTGCAGAGTCCTGTGGAGCGCTTGCACCATATCTCCCGGTAAGCAGTCATAGCGGACCCAATGACCGATCTGTTTGATATCTTCACTAGCATTTTTGACGCAAAACGCCTAGTCTTCGGTCTTTGTTGAGTTCTTCTGAACTTTCCTTGTCAATCCAGAGGCTTTCTGTGTAGAGCTGCATACATTTCTTTGCACCAGGAGGGTGAGGCAGCAATTTATTCCGCAAACTTTTTATCAACATAATCCAAGGTGCAAAATGGGATTACTCTTCAAAACGTGGTCTCTGGCAATACACAGTGCACTACAAGTAGAGCAAGTACTTGGTCCGGCTCATCGCAATTGTCGCTTATCTATCGCCACTAAAGGCCGATTCACAATACAACTTTCTGCGACGCGACTTGCGACACATGCGACGAGCTGCGACAGCGACACACGGTTCACAATATTCTTCATGTTTGCGACATCATCATGCACAAGTAGTACTATGCACGTGCACTGCACGTGCACCCAGGGTCGAAACTGTACTCCATTTGTGTATGTCGCGTGTCGCATGTCGCAAAAGTTGAACTTTCTTCAACTTCTGCGACAGGTGCATTGCGACAGCTTGCGACAGCTCGCGACAGGCAGTTTCTTGTCGCAACTGTCGCAACTGTCGCAAATCGCGTGTCGCGTTGCAGAAAGTTGTATTGTGAATCGGGCTTAAGAACAGGAGTTTTTTTACCGCTCTGTGAGAATTTCCAATAGGCATAGTGAGGAAGCATGATACATGAATACTCTCCGCCACAAGAAAAAAATTTCAGCAATGGAATCAGGTGCGGCGAGTCGAAGAAAGGAAGCAAGGTAAGCAAAATGCACGAAATAAACCAGCAAAGGAGCTCGTTCTTGCACTAACACTCTTACAGGTCCAGAGTAAAATTCAACTCTGCATCACTCAAGCTGCTGCGCCGTTACATGACTCGTCATGAGCTGACATTTGTTTGTGTCTAGCTGCTGGCGTAGACTGGTAGTGGTAGAGTATCCCTTGCTTTGTCAGCCTGTCGTATGGCAGCAATGGGAAAGGAACAGTTGTGGCTGTCACTTCGGTGCTTGAAGGAATGGTGGGCAGTGTGACCTGTGACCGTGTGTCGCCACGACTCTTGTAATGCTGCTGCTAGGTCCACCAAGCGAAGGAACACCAACACATCGGCCGGGCGCATCGCATCAAAAACACCTTTCTTCTTCAGCATGACGCTCATACTTCTCTGCCATGCACGCGAGCGTGACACGCTCTCGTGGATGTCAGTTGCCCCCCTACCACAGTTCCGGTCTTCGGGTCGCTGCGCTTGGCTTTTGGCAACACAGACAGTGAATGGCCAGATTCCCACTTCCCAAGAAAGTCGAACACATCGCGATTCAAAGCGCTAGTCGCGATCATTTTTCTTTGGTGCCTCCTTGGATCTTGCCATCACAACCTCCCAAGCAAAAGTAAGTTAGATATCGTGATTGGACTGGGTTTTACCTGTCCAAAAGTGCGTGGGAGATAAGCGACAATTGCGATGAGCCGGACCAAGTAGTCGACTATGTTCCTCACAACTGGACATTTCCTATTCAGCTTTTCATTGCCGAAAAGAAGGGCAACCCAGGATGTCGTTACCGTCAACGTTATGTACCGAGCATTGCTCTTCTGCTGATTGGTTGTTACCATGACAGCTCTGAGTTACAACAATAGGCCCTGCTTTTCTGCGTGTACCTCTTGTGTACTGAGCATTGCAACATTTTTTTGTTTTGTCCAGGCTGGGCTGCGGAGTAGCTTGTTGCTGAGTATGCTGAAGCAGATGCTGGTGGAGGATAAGTCTGACGAGGTACGGGCTGCGGTCACGCGCACACTCGGCCTCCTAGTGGCGTTCATCGACGATGCAGATAAATACAACCAGGTAAGGCGGGCTGTAATGTGCCTGTGACAATTTGACTGTGATACGGCTTTGATAATATTATGTCATTGATACGGCAGTGTTATGAGTGTGATATGGATGTGCTGTGGGTGTGATACAGCTGTGATACGGTTGTGAATTGGGCTGTGATATTATGTCATTGATATGGCTGTGAATTGGGCTGTGATATGGCTTTGATACAGCTGTGATGTGGCAGTGATGTGGCAATGATACACCTTTGATACGGCTTTTATATGGATGTGGCATGGATGTGGCTCCACTCTAAATTAAGCCAAACATCAACAACAACAACAACAACAACAACAACAACAACAACAACAACAACAACAACAACAACAACATGTGGCATGGATGTGATAATATTATGGCTATCGGCTTTTGTAACGGTGCCCTTGAACATGTCTCTTGGCTTGTACTGAAGTACGTTGAAGCAGAATGCAGCAAACGTGTGCTTCTCCCTTCGAGCATGAAGCTGCTTACTTTATTGTATTCTGTTCTCTTGCTGCCTAACACGACTCGTTAAATGGACATGGGTCTCTCTCTCTCTCTCTCTCTCTCTCTCTCTCTCTCTCTCTCTCTCTCTCTCTCTCTCTCTCTCTCTCTCTCTCTCCAGTGCTACGACCTGATGGTCAGCTCGCTGTCGGATGCAGACAAGCTGGTGGTCGATGCCGCCCGTCGTGTCTTCCTTCCAGCACTGGCTGCATGGGCGTATGAGCTGCAGATCCTGGAAACCAAGCTGCTGTCATGCCTGCTCGTGCACATCAATACACACTTGACGGTAGGTCATGGTTGTGCTCATTATATCATTGGGATTCCCACACTGAGTGAGAGTCAATGTTGGCTTGATGTGGAGTGGATATGGATTGCCAGTGCGCCCTCACAACAACTCAGTAGGCGACTTCCACTGCTCAAAAAACGCTCAAACAATGCTCAAACTGTGCTCAAACAGTGCTCAAACGGTGGTTTAGAGCTCTCTAATTCAGAAGTCAGAACCATTGGTTGCAACTCAAGAGTTTCACGCTGAGCCATCCTCAGGCAACTTAACGCCCGCAACAGTAATGAATTGATATTGTGGGTGTTGAACACACCTCAAATCTGCAAACCACCAAAATTCATCCTGCAACAGCAGTAACCCATAGCTAATGCATTACCAGGTATGCCATTTCTATTTGGATCTTTTTTCGAGTGATGTGTTCATTTTCGGAAAGTCTCCAATAGTAATTTTGGACCTTTTCTTGTATGTGTGCATGTGTGTTTGGGGTTTATGGTTTTTCAATAGCAATTTTGGCTTTGGTAGTTGCTGATGTATTGTTTTCGGAAGTTTCCAATAGCTAAGTTTTGGGCCCTTTGTGATTGGCGTGTTTGTTTTCAGAAAGTCTCCAACAGCTTGAGTGGACAGGAAGACTTTGAGAAGGTGTTGCGTCAAGAAGAGATTCTGGTTATGTGGGTGAATGCATTTGAAGCATTGCTGACGTGGCAGATTGCTTCTTTGCTGCAGAGTGGTACGTTGCCCAGGCTGTGCTGTGTGTGTGTGTGTGTGTGTGTGTGTGTGTGTGTGTGTGTGTGTGTGTGTGTGTGTGTGTGTGTGTGTCCCATATGGTGCAGTGGTATGTGCAGCGATTTCCAATCGATAGGTTGCGGGTTCGATTCCCGACGATTATGGTCACGCATGTCTTTCTTCTCTTTCTCAGACTCTTTCTGACTTTTCTTTCATTCTCCTGGGTGGTTACCAACAGCCAGTGCATGGCGGAGTATGTGGTGTGATGTGTGTGCGTGAAAAAAATGAAAAAGACCAAAAAGAAGGGATTCACTGGCCAGAAAAAGCCACTTCATAGCTGTGAGGTGTAGACCAGGCTGAATAGTGGCGGTCAATTATTCAGCCTTGCAAGCTGTTGAATGGTGCAATCCCAGCACAAGCTGCTATGGCTTCTGCTGTAGCATTGCTATCATCGCCTCTGGCGATGGGCGTCAAATGGTCAATGGTGTGTGTGTGTGTGTGTATGTGTGAGCGTGTATGTGTGTGTGTGTGTGTGTGTGTGTGTGTGTGTGTGTGTGTTTGTGTGTGTGCATACGCACCCACGCGCGCACACCAGCTAGTTCGGCTGATGGGTACGCTTATGCCAGATTTAGTTGGGTCTGTTGGCGTGTTGCCAACATGCTCAATGGTTTGAAGATGTATTGTTGTACCTGCCACTTTTGTTGGTTTCATGGTTCATAAACTGTCTTTTCGATGTATAAAATTACATACCTGTTAGGTGTTAACCATGGGCTACTTCTGGCTAGATAAACTTTTGTGTAGTCAGTGGTGCTAGTGAAGCCTATACATTCGTTGCAAGTTATCGGTTATCGGTTGTCTGCTTGTGGCTGATATTCTGTCATTCTTTTACCACTTCTTGTATGCTATGCTATGTCCAGGTCCGTATGCCCAGGAGCCGTGTCCGCCTCTTGAGGATGCAAGTACGTCAAGAGTCTTAGCTTTGCTTTGAGAATAACTTCGAACTCAGGCTCTAGATGAGTGTGTGTGTGTGTGTGTGTGGGAGGGGGGTGTACGGTGCTATTAGAATATTTTCAAACTTAGGGTCTATGTGTGTGTGGGGGGGGGGTGTACGGTGCTATTAGAATATTTTCAAACTTAGGGTCTATGTGTGTGTGGGGGGGGGGGGGGGGGGTATTCAAGCTGACAGTATTCTGCAATGCCTTTTGTCCAGCTTGCATGCTGTGCCATTGCACTGACTATATGACTTCTTCCTATTTCCTTCTGTTCACATTGCTTGTATTGCCATGGTCCACCACAGCTGAGCTCCAGCTCCAGCCTCAGCCATCCTCAGAACCTCTGCTGGATCTGGCCGTCATTGTTGGCAGCAGTGAAGATGTGGTACGGCTGCGCGCCTTGTTCGAGAGCTACACGGCAGAGGAATCCTGGACGCAGTGGAAGGAAGTGAAGTGGCTGATGACGGATTTGTGAGTTTCTCTTGCGTAGAGTTGTCTAGTGCTTGCTCAGTTTGCTCTTAGCACGGACTTGTTGTGGCATGGGGCTGTGCACACACACAGTGGTGCTCACGACTTGTGCATTGCACATTGAGCATTGCCAGTTTAATGAGTAATGCGTGTGACCCATGGTGTGAGTCGGCTGGGATCAGCAATGCTCTGTTCAGCACCATACGCAAGCACACGCAGGTGGCTGTGTGGGGTGCGCTGGCATCAGCACTGTTCTGCACCCTGTATAACCATGCCCAGGTGGCTGCATGGGGTGTTTATGGTACAAACTATGCCATTGCACAATGGGCTTACTATTCAGATGCTGCTATGGCTGACCGTATGCTTGGCATGGCTGACTGCTCAGTGTGTTTTTCTTCACTTTGGTTCAACTCTCTATGCAGCCCATGCACTACTGGTGCTCTCGCCGTGGCAATTTTAATCTGCATGTGAAATATCCCGGAAATGTGCGTGTGGTCTGCACTGTGCTGTGCATCATGAAGTTACGTCCGATCGAGCACTCTAACTCCAGTTACTTACCAGCTGCCTCTGATTGTTTCCGTGTCTTTGCGTGTGTGTCCATCTGCAGCCTTCCAAAGCTGACTGACTTCTTGAGTAAGTTTATGTGGCTTTTCGTCTGACATCCTGACGGATCTTCTCGGTTGTGTGTGTCTGTGTGTGTTTTTTATTCCATGCCCACATTGTGTTTTGTACGATCACGGTGTTGCGTGTTGGACTGTTCTTGTCTGTGTGCGTGTGTGGCTCTTATCCTCTTTTATTTGTGTCTTGTGTGTTGTCCGTACCTTGTGCAGTCCAGCTAAGTGTGGGTCTTGGCAAGGCAGTATCGGCGTTCATTCAGCTGCTTCAAGGACTGTGCCAACTCCTGGGCCGCTCGTTTGTCAACAGCAAGGTATGGTAGTAGCTGCCAAAGTCCTAATCCATTGATAATCCAGCATATCAAAGTCGATTTCCCTACAGTGCTAACATTTGAAGTTATTTTTTGAGTTGCTCGTGGGGGGCCAGCGGGCGCTTTCTTGCAACTCTGTGTGTACTGTCTTCATGCATGCAATGCATGCACAGTAAAACCTGCCCTAACCGGACGCCCTTGGTGCAGCAGAAACTGTCCTGATATGACAGGATTCCGCTTGATCCAGGGACGCACGTTCGAACCACAGCACTTTGGTGCATGGAAATTTGTCCGGTGGTACAGGTCCGGTCAATACAGGATTCCGCTTGGTACAGGTCCGGTCAATACAGGATTGCGCTTGGTACAGGGTCCGGTAAACACAGGTTTTACTGTATACCCAGTATACTTTCTACAAGTCTTATCTGAAGCAATTGTCTTGTGCGAAAGCCGGGCCTGAGTAGAAAGTGCTAGAAGACTTGCCTTAAATATGCATGGAAAGCAGCCAGTCACCCTGTGTATTTTCCCTTGTATGCTATCACAGATCAGGCCGTTCTTTGACACAATTCTAAGTCCTGAGAATCAAGCAGGTGAGTACAGCAGACTACTAGTAACTGTCCTATGCTATTCTTGTATCAACAATTCAAAAAATGCACCAAAGTACTAGTATGTACCGTATTTCCCTGAAAATAAGGCGTACTTTTTTACGCTAAACTTCAAGGGGAAAGAAGGGGGTGACTTACAACCGAGTGTGACATCCTACTGTATGTGAACGTGTTGAAACAATATTGCTCTAACCTGAAAATGGGTATGCGACTTATACTCGAGTGCGACTTATAATCGTGGAAATACGTCTTTGCCTGGTTTGCTAGTTGTGGTAGTGCTTGCCGTGTCATCCTGCAACTCTCGATGCTGTGTTAATTGAACTTAGTTCATCGCATATGCACTTGTGGTGGTGTGTCTGGGTGCTAAGCATGCTGGTATGTGTGTGTACGCGTGTGTGTATGTGCATACGTGTGTGTGTGTACGTGTGTGTACATGTATGTGCGTGCTTCTTGTGCTCCTTGCACTCTCTTCAGATCGGCCATCGTCTGCACGCATTGCAGCGCTGTCCTCTGCGCTTCTGCCGTGCTTTGTCTGCGGTGTGCTGAACTGCTTCCCAGAGGTGAGTGGACTGTGCCAGGACCAGAAGAAGATGAATTCTCTTCGATTCATAATGAATCCTTTTCCATTTGAGTTGTGTCTCCATGTACTTACCTCCCAGTACCATATAGCACGGTTGGGTGACGCAGAACGAACAGGCTAGAAATTCACCGAATTCTGTAAAGTACTGTCAGTTGCCGAAGAACTGAGGGGTCAGCCACCTAGCCTAAACCGTTCTTATGTTCATGTAAACACCGACTCTATGCCCAGTTGAGTAACAGTGTATACATTGGTATGCTGTGCTTGGTGAAATTCTAGCCGGCTTGTTCTTCGGCGCTCCCCGACAGTACTGTATACCTGTATGTACTTGGTGCCTCAGTTACATGCTGTCAACTTAGCGAATAACAACCCTCGACCTTGCATGAGAAAAGTGGCGTTATTCACGACGCTGAAAGTATGCTGTCAAATGGTCAGTTGCTTATCAACCATAACACCACACCGCTGCGCTCTCCGGCCGACCTCAACACGTCGCCACAGCACACCATCAGCTGCTGTCTGAAGGAGCAGAGTACCAACTGAAGTGTCGTTTTGCTGATGGTGTGCTGTGGCAACGTGTTGAGGTCGGCCGGAGAGCGCAGCGGTGTGGTGTGGTGGTTGATAAGAATCTGGACAAGGCCGAATGCTGCTACTTACCCCTCTTGATTATTAAATGGTCAGTTGGTCTGAAGATTATGGCGTTATTCACAAGTTGTTGTTACAGCCCGGGTCATTATTTACGAGGCTGATTGTAGACAGTTCTACATGAAACGTAAGAAAGGCGTAGGCTACGACTCTGACGACTCTCTCTCTCTCGCTCTCGCTCTCTCTCTCTCGCTCTCTGTCTCTCTCTCTCTGTCTCTCTCTCTCTCTGTCTCTCTCTCTCTCTCTCTCTCTCTCTGTCTCTCTCTGTCTGTCTCTCTCTCTCTCTCTCTCTCTCTCTCTCTCTCTCTCTCTCTCTCTCTCTCTCTCTCTCTCTCTCTCTCTCTCTCTCTCCCCCCCCCCCCTGTTTTCCGGCACCGGACAGCACTGTATTGCAGCATTGCCACTGAGATAAGATACTTCAGTCTTTGGGTGGTGTCGGTGTTTTCATTCTGTTCGTGTTCTTCCCCTGTCGTTGATACAGGATCAGGCGGTGATGACATCTACGCTGCACAAGCTGATGTGCTACATGGCGCTCAACGTGCTGCCGCTGGAGTCTGTGCAGATTACGTTCCTTATGCTCAGGTAAGTGCTGCCATCTAGTGCCACCTGAAATTCGTGGTTGGTGTGGGGGTATTTCCCTCGTTCACATGTAATCAGCACGAGGGGTATTTCCCTCGTTCAATATGATCAGCATGAAGGGCATTTCCCTCGTTCACATGTGATCAGCAGGGATGGTATTTTCTTTGATCAGATGAGACTACTGCCGTCTGGCCGAGTTGCACATCCGGATGGATTTCACCAGGATATAGTGACCTGCCACTCATCAGCATGCACCCCACCACTCATCAACTCACATAACCTGGTTATGCACGAGTGTTGAGAGGTAGGCTACTTCTATGCATGAGTTTCAACAAGTAGGATGTTTCTATGCATGAGGTCATCCAGGAAACACTGCCACTAGACTATAGCCTTGTTCTTGTTTGTGTTTCCGCTGTGAACAGTGAGGACAAGAATCTGCACATGGCACTAGTTGAGGTGTTGTGGGAATCACTGCGTAGTAGCACCATACAGATCCGCTGCGCTACAGCCAGCCTGGTGGAGTTGCTTATCAAGGACATGGACGAGACATTGGTGGCGACGCGGTTTGTGCCGGCACTTGTAACCCTGGCTTCGGACGATGACATGTAAGAGTGTGTGTATTGGAAACAGCCAGGTTGTTTGTGGAATTGTACGTTTGTACTCTGTGTACTGTGTGTGTGCGTGCGTGCGTGTGTGTGTGTGCATGTGTGTGCATGTGTGTGTGTGTGTGTGTGTGTATTTATGTTCTCTCTCTCTCTCTCTCTCTCTCTCTCTCTCTCTCCCTTTCTCTCTCTGTCTCTCCCGGCTACTGGCCTTGCCATGCAGGGCTGTGAGGGTGGCGTCTGTGGGAGGTTTTGGCAGTCTGATGGAGTGTGCCAAGCAGAAGTCGGTGAGTACACTAACCGCACACTTTTCCATGCTGTGCCCATCATAATGTCCTGTTCAACATCACAGTGTCATCTGTTAGTTCATCAGCTTTATAAGAACTCTTTCTGCCTACTTCGAAGTAGTACTTTGTCAGCAACCTTTTTGGCTGCTGTTTTGCTCAACTCCGATACCGGTCTCCTTTAACTGTGAATCAAATCAATTTATACTTTACCAAATGTTCGGGCCCTAGCCATCATCAGGGTAAATACACTCATTGTGTGGAGTTGAGGAGTGATGATTCATACATGTGGAAGTGGCTGCGTTTGAGTTTGCGGACAATAAGAAAAGGTGCAGTGTTGGCGTAGTAACTAATACTAACTATTACTTCCTGTGCATGCCTGTTGTGAAGCCTAAATCAGAGCCATTGCTCCAGTGCATATGATATGTGTACATGTACATGTAGTCACTGCCAACAAAAATCCCGACAAATCACTGCGCCTGGTTGGCCAAGTCGTGTGCTCCAGCACTCTTGCTGAACACATTTCGTAGCGATGCACGGCGCTAGCCCCGAGTAATTATTATTTGTTGGGATGTTTCCAATGTAGTTACGTGTATAGCTGGTTGCTGAGAACGGGTTTATTCACAAAGCCACCAATCACGCGAAACCAAAGTAAGGAGCAAAGCAAAACGACAACCCGGATTCGGCAATAAATAGAACACTCAATTGAAGTGTAGCTGTCTGGTTACTAGCAGGCAAAGCGGCAATGTGATATCTGCTTCATTTCTTGGCTTTGATTTGTATTTTCAGCTGCTGGAGAAGGCCCAAGTCCAGCTGACGTCGTTCCTCGATGAGCCAACCTACGAGGAAGAGCATGCTATGCACGTAGAGATCATCAAAACCCTTGGACGCGTCGGTCCTAACTCCGATCCCATGTTCCGTGACCAATGTAAGATTGCAGTGCCATGTGCTCCCTCTCTCGGTGTCCATGTGTTTGCTTTCCATCTGTACATGTTCATGTGCTCCCTCTCTCGGTGTCCATGTGTTTGCTTTCCATCTGTACATGTTCAGGTCAGCTTGTCTACCTCTCTGTATCAATCTGTTTGCTTTCTCTATGTTATTGTGCATACCGTATATTCTCTATTATAAGCGCCGTGCTTATATTTCTTCAACACCCCTCTACCCCGTGCTTATATTGGAGACCGCGCTTATATTGGAGACCGTGCTTATATTTTTTCAACCAATACATTCATACAGAGCAAGAAGAAATACATGCTAGATATCATGCATGCAGCATTGATTCCACCAAGACCGTGCTAATAATAGAGACTGTGCTTATAATGTTTCGAAGGGTGCTCACAGTGTGCTAGTATTAGAGACTGTGCTAGTAATGGAGACCTGTGCTTATAATAGAGAATATACGGTACTTGATCGGTTGACAGCACGTTACAAGGCGGAGGACGCACTGTGTTGAAAACAGTGCTCCGGACTACAACCATCGTCGGCTTACCTAACACCATGTATATACTTGTGTCTGTCTCTGACTCTCTGTGGCCCCTTGGTCTATTTGACAACCTGTTCATCTCTTCCACGACAGCGTCACCCTCTTTCGCCACTGACACTGTGTCTGTGGAATGGCTCGTTTGCTGGCGAGCTTGTCTTGTGACGCAAGCACACTGTGAAACGGTTTCTTGTGACAAAATACTTATACAGTGGTCCCTCTAGAATCCGGCAGCCATTGTGCTACGGAAATTCTGCTGGATTGGGGAGGGTGCTGGATTAGAAAATCTGATTTACTGCTGCAATGTGCATGAAAAGGACATTTTGGTAACTGAAAATTTATGCTGGTTTATAGAGGGTGCTGGTTTATAACGTGCTGGATTTAAGAGGGACGACTGTATTTTATGCTTCGTTGTGATGTTTACTACGTGTGGTGTTGTCTTGTGTTTGCTTATGCAGTCGTACTGCCAAGACTACACAGCCTGGCAGCGAAGAACAACACGTCGACGAACCGCACCAAGCGTCGTGATATCGCCATGGAGCTGCACGAGGCATTCCGAACTCTGGCCTGCTGCTGTATCCTCTTCTCGTGTTTTGAGATCCATCATGCACGGCACGTGCTTGTGTGTGTGTGTGTGTGTGTGTGTGTGTGTGTGTGTGTGTGTGTGTGTGTGTGTGTGTGTGCGTGGGTTCGTGTGGGCGTTTGTGCGTGTATGTGCATGAGTTTGTCTGCCCGCTCATGTGTGTGTGTGGGGGGGGGGGGGGGGGTCATTGCAGGTGTTGCGATATCATCTCTGATCTGTAATACGCTCTCTGAATGTGTCCCCTACTGGCAAGGCGCTTTCTCCACTGAAAAAGGCGAGGAATATGCACAGTTTCCATTGCCATCTGATCACACGTTTGCCTTTTCTGTGTAGTCCGATTGTGTTTAACTGTCCTTGACTTGGTCGTTTATCACATCAGTCATTCCCGCTGATCAGATAGGCGAGCATCTGCTACCGGCGTTGCGCTGTCTGCTTAGCGACATGCAGGACATTGATGTAGATTCAGTGGTGAGTACTGGTGTTGTACTGGTGTTGTACTGGCCAGTGTACTGGCCATGTATTGATAGCGTACTGTGTAGGCTGTAGGGACTGCTGATGTGTCCCTATCATAGAGACCAGTGCGTGTACTAATAGCGCCTTGCACGGTCAGTAGGGACTTCTAGTTTTTTCCCTATTAGGGAAACTAGTGATAGTACCTTGCACGGTCAGTAGGGACTTCTAGTTTTTTCCCTATTAGGGAAACTAGTGATAGTACCTTGCAAGATCAGTAGGGTCTACTGATCTTTCCCTATCATAGAGACCAGTGTGTGTACAATAGTACTGGTGCCCATAAACAATAGTTACTGTCTGTTTGGTCACTGGCACTAAACTGCTAAAGCAACTCAATGACAACGATCCTCTTTTTTTTTATTTGCTCAGTTTCCTTTCGATTCATTACAACACTGCACTGCCTTCCTCGGACTTCGCCGTAATTTGCACGACTTGTCCCCAGTCAAAGCGTCCGATTGCTGAGTTATTATTACATACATCAATCTCTTTCTTTTTCCTGCAGGAATCCGTCAAATCCCTTATCAGCGAAGTAGAGTCTAAGACGTCCGACTCCAGCTCAATGCACAGGGCATCGCTGCCCGGTTCCGAGCAGCAGGGCGCCAAGACTCGCCTGATGCGCGCCCTGATGCGTCGTGACTCCTCGCAGTCGGTGAACTCTGGCGGCCTGGCCACCTTGCAGGTGGCGTCTCCGTCATCGTCGGCGGGCTCGTCCGCGAGTCCCAAGGTGTCGGCCTCGCGCGATGTGCGCAACTTCTTCCGCCTCAACAAATAGAACCACACAACTGACTTATGCCCCATGGTGTTGTTATAGCAACCGACTGATCTCCCATGGTATTGTCATGGCAACTGACTAATTCCCCGTGGTGTAGTCATGTTGCTGCATGCTAGAGCACGTATAGACCTGGAGCTATTCGGGCTCACGCTTGATTCATTGGACATATTTATAGTGTGGAGAAGTCTCCTCAGGCAGGGAGATTCACATGCCTTTGGATGCTATGTACATGGCTTCATCAGCATCATCAAACTGGCCTCTAATGCCCTATAGATTTAGGATTTACAGTTGTGCTTTGCATTTTCTTTTACCCTTGCCCCTTGGCACAAAGACTGTTCTGCAAAACATCGCCCATCTGCAAATGGGTGGCTTTTTGCTCATGTGAAAGCCGTGGTGGCTATTGTTCACCACACGTCTCGCACTTGTCCAATTCCTGTGGCCATTCAGGAAACCAATAACAGCCCGGCAGCTTTTTTCTTTCTTGTTTTTTTTTGTTAAATTCCTCACCGCTGGTATGGGGTCGACTGGCACTGTCTTTGCGAACCCCTGTTGGCGTTTGCTCTAGTTTCTCATACTTTATATCCTTTCCCCTCGCTCCTGCTGTCGATCTTTGGCACTGGGGTAGATATGATAATGTACTTGTAGGCAGACAATGTTATTCAATTTCTCTCGTCTTGTCTCGTCTTGTCTCGTCTCTCTCTCTCTATCTCTCTCTCTCTCTCTCTCTCTCTCTCTCTCTCTCTCTCTCTCTCTCTCTCTCTCTCTCTCTCTCTCTCTCTCTCTCTCTCTCTCTCTCTCTCTCTCTCTCTCTCTCTCTCTCTCTCTCTCTCTCTCTCTCTCTATCTCTCCCCCCCCCCCCCACACACACACACATTTGTGTACACATAAAACAGAATACCGAATAATTTTATTGAATATTGAGATGGAATTTGGAATTTACTATTCGAGTATCCACACGATCATGGTGTGCTGAGCACAGCAGCGCCAGCGGGTGTTATCCCACTGGACGATAACGTGTCTGCGCCCACCAATTTGTTCTTTCTATCATCATACACTATCTCCGTTTCCTGATTCCGTGCATTTCTTTCTCCTGCTGTTCCGCCTTGACTTGTCTTGTTCCATGACTGAATTTTACTATTCCCAACCTTGTCTTTTATGCCCCCCCCCCCCCGTTTCCTTTTGCCCATCTCCATCTTTTCCCAGTATTGAATTCTATTGGATGTAACATTGTTGAAAAGTACTAGTAGATCTCAGTGTTGGATATCTGTGGGTTGAAGAAACCGTTGTTCCATGTGTGTGTGTGTGTGTGTGTGTGTTTATGTGTGTGTGTGTCCGTGTGGTCATGCGTGTTCATGCACGGGTATGGTGTGATGTGGTAGGTGGTGTGCTTGTATGTGTGTGCGCCCGCTCGCATGTGCTGTGAACACGCAGCAGCAGAGGCGACGCTTATCGCTCCGTCGCTTGCACCTGCACAGCAACGGTTGCGGTGCAGCGCCGCACACTCCGTTCTCCACGCATTTGATGAAGGAAGATGACACAGCTATGTCATAGCATTTCTTGCAACCATGTCGTTTCAAATAATAGACATTCTCATAATCACAGAGTCTGGAGGAGCACACTCAATCAATATAGAGCACTAGCAGATACATGTAACACGAGTCTGATCTCACTGAGCCTCTCAAGGCCACTGGCACGTGCATGGCTGATCACCGTCCAGTTAGCAATGCAGCTAGAAACAAGGCGTCATACATACAAGTAGGATTACGCGTATCTGTTGAGCCACATAATGTTACTGGTGTCAAAATAGTGTCCAATGCTAAAATTAATCGATATCAACTAAAAATAATGTATGTTCCACATTGTACAGTTTGTATCTCAAGATTTCCTACAAGTACTTCGGGGTCAACAAATCAGGAACTATGCCTATGGTCACTAGAGAAGGCAGAGAGCTCGCTTGCTAGTTTGCAACGGTGATTGCGGGCAGCGCTTTGGCCACTTGCTTGGCGTTGGAGCGCTTCTCCTTGGTCTTGCGCATGTTCTTGGCAGTTGTACCACCGCCACCGCCACTCCCGGATGCGGCCACGGCTGCGGCACCTCGATTGCGACCACCGGAGCCGCTCTGCAGCATCGGGTCCTGAGCTCCGGCCAGCGATGCCTTGTGTTGGCTTTGCAGAGCGGCGGCCATTGCCTCCCTCGCCCGTCGGTCGTCCTCGTCCATGTCATCCACCGACATGTAGTCGGTGTCGAATGGCGCCCTCTGCTTGAAGTACTCCTGGCGCAGCGACTCGATCATCTTCTCGCCGAGACAGTGCGTGATGTTGAGCGAGATGAGGTTGTTGTCGCGCATGCGCTCCGGGCCCCAGTGCTGCCCGATGCTCATCAGGATCTCGTAGCACGGCGGCTCACGGGCAGTCAAACGCCTGTGCAGCACAGTATATAGAAACACACGTACGCACGCACGCACACACACACACACACACAGTACCCGTTCAGGCAATGAAGCTGAATCAGTATGTGAAGCCATGCCGATAGGGGAGAGTAATAAGGTGCAGGCCAGCTACTACTTGCGACAATCTACACCAAGCAATTCTAAATTCCTGCCATCGCCGGATGAATATGTCAACGGTGCTTTACCGCATACCGGGTATGTGTAAGCGGCTCTTTCGGCATTCTGAATGCCATTCTAACCGAGTATGGTCGATACGGGTATGTGCCTCAAGCCAACTTGTCATGCGTGCATAGCAGTGGTGTCACAGAAAATATGGTCATTGAACCATGAAGCCTCGCCCTGACTATAGCACTACAGTTGAATCACTGCATATTGCAAACGTCCGTGATCCGTCATGAAAAATGCCGGATACATTTCCTTTGGCATTTTCTACGTCGTGTAAATGCAGCTACAGACATGTGCACAAACAGAGAGTGCCAGCACTGCAACGTACCCGCTTGCTGCCGGGAGATTCTTGTAGCGCTCGTACGTGGCGAGGAAGCGCTCAAAGCTGAAGATAAGCGTGCGCACGCACCGCTCCAATGCGATGACGTCGCCGTCCTGGCTCTGGTAGTATGTAGTTGCGGGGCACAGGCGTGTGGCGTATACATCATTGTTATCCATCTGCGTACATGTAAACATGCATGGACATGTACACACACACGTGCGCACACAAGCATGGACATGCATGTACACACACACACAAACACACACGAGCGCGTAACAAAGAGAGGCAGCATTACGTCGGAGAGTACGATAATGACAGCCATACCTACATGCCGACCTTTCCATATCTATCCTTGCTTACATTCTGGGCTTGGCAAATTATCACTGCTGGAACCTGCCCCCCCCCCCCCCTACATTGCAGGTGACAAAACTCCTTGTGCTGAGTGCTGGTAATCAGTAATTGCTGGTGTCAGCCAGTGGAGTGCATGCTGCAGGACTGCTCCTACTTCGTATTCAGATACATTCTGAGGATTGTTTTCAAAACCTGGACATACCCGTGCAGCCATTCGAAACTTCTCCACTCCCTCCAGTCTCTCACTGCAGAGTGCAGTATATTCCATATTCCATGCACATGTACGTTATCACATTTCGTACGCATGATTGAAATAATTCCACAAGCGGCATGGAATCGAGGTGAATGTGGTGTCACCAACCACAGTGAGTTCTAAAGTGTAATGTGAGTTTACTCGCGGATGACAATGCATTAGGGAAGCGCGCCCCCCCCCCCCCCCCCCCCCTCCTTCCATCCAATATGCCCCCCCCCCACACTTCCATCCAATATGCCCCCCCCCCCCCCCCCATGGTGTCAAGCTCTCTTACCTGAAGAATAATACCGCGGTGCGTGTGCTCCAGGACCTTCCACATCGACGGCAGGATGCTCTGGGCGGTGCGCGGCGGGGGCAAGCTCAGCTGCAGCAGCTTCCTGGAGCCGAAGAGACGCTCCTGCGTGACGGCGTCGAGAGAGTTACGCGGCGGCGGGTGGCCGTAGAACAGACGGCAGCCGTCGCGGTGAGCGATGCGCATGGCGGCCATGGCGCAGCTGCGGTACGCCACCTTGACGTACATCTCGTACGACACTGCAACAACCAACACACACAGACACAAGAAGGACAGGCTCACATCCACGGTAACGCCACATCACGTGATAACACCGGGTGAAAGCCACAGAACCGATGCAATGTTCATCTGACGCGTGTCCAGACCGTGTATGAACATCCCTCAGAAAGGCAGTACGTGTATCTGTAATGTTGTGTCATGTTTGGGGTCATGTACACATGCACTGGCTGGAGCACATCCACCCTGAGATTCAATAACCGGTCAAACCCGGTTATCCTACTGTGAGGATACCCGGTCATGCGAGAATTGTAACCGTTTACACCCCTACATCACATACATCTTACTGCATTTCAAACTTGCTTGCTTACTGCTACGCGGTGTACACGCTTACCCAGGTTTTGAGGCGTTGGAATTGTCAGGAATCGATTCAGATAGTGTTGAGGCTGCAGACAAACAAATATGAGTAGCACCACACGGGAAGACAAGCGCAGCAGCGGAGAGTGAGTTTTTGAATTCTAAGACCACGGTTCCCACACACTTGATCACCTTAAAAAGGCACTACCAGTGCCCTCCGCATACAATGTTGAATACTTGGAAGGTAGATACCATACTGCATAGATTGTCTGGGTACTCATAATTGTGCAGTGAGCACAAATCACTCATTTTCCAGGAATTGTTGGTGCTGGAGCACGCTGGGAATGAGGCAAAGTACCAATCCAGGGGACGGAGGAGAGCGATGGCAGTTCAAAACTCCAAACATACAAACAGGAACATCGGGCATGATGATCTGCAACTAACTTACAAAGGTGGACAGGACTGTGCTCTGTGTGTCCCAGCTGCCGGCGATCGGGGCCGTCGCTGAAACCTCCGTTATGCTCGCTCCAGTGGTGGCTTGGGCAGTTGCGGCGGCTGGCCATATCGAATGAGTAGGATCCATGACTGACATGGCCATGGGGTTGGTCAATGGTGATGACTGGCGGGGAAAAACGTACCAGCAAACGTAGAAAACAACTGATATAAGATGCTAGTACCAGTTACAACAAAGGGATTGATCAGCCCATTCATCATGTGATAATCAGACCACTCATCATGTGATAATCAGACCACTCATCATGTGATAATCAGACCACTCATCATGTGATAATCAGACCACTCATCATGTGATAATCAGACCACTCATCATGTGATAATCAGACCACTCATCATGTGATAATCAGACCACTCATCATGTGATAATCAGACCATTCATCATGTGATAATCAGACCACTCATCATGTGATGATCAGACCACTCATCATGTGATAATCAGACCAGTTGTTGTCACCCTACTATAGCTGCTATCTGTATGGGTGAAAGCACTCCGTATGAGTAGATGATGCCTTGATAAAAGCCCGTGGCACACAGTGAGCACTCTAACTATGACTTTATATTCCCGGCGGAAGCACACCAAACCCGACTCATGCCATGGAACATTCAGGTGGCGTGTGGACAGTGGCGCATTGGACGAACTAAGCTACGTGTACAATGTGGATTTTCATCAGGCCCTATAGCTTGGCTAACCTTCACACAGAAAAGGACCACTACCACTTGAATACAACAGTCAACTGCATCACTATTTTTTTCGTTAATTCTTCACAAAACAAAATCTAGAAAGGAAAGGGACATATGGATACGAGTTATTAAAGAGTAACTGTCCACCACTGTAACTAGATACTATATACAGTCAGAAAGTGCAACTCTTAACTCATAACTCGTATCCATATGTCCTTTTCCTTTCTACATTTATTATTGGCTCAACATCCGGGTTTCAAAACAAAATCTGGTGCGCCATAAGTTGATATTGTGACTTCTGTCTTTGCCGAATCTGAAAGTGTAATCGGGAGAGCAGAAGACGCTTGGTGCACCCAGGGCAAGTCGCCAAACACACACACTTACAGCAATCTGCTGAGGCGTTGGCTGCGACATAGAAGTCATGGCTGGGTGAAGATGCTGCTGGTGTTGTTGTTGCAGGTGGGTAGCTGGAAAGAAAAAGAACAGATGCAATAAACAAAAAAAGCGCCGACAACGGAATGAGCATACCGTACCTTGGTTTTTGTCTCTGCAAGTGCATGCACACTTATTACACATAGCGAACCAAAGTTGGAGATTATGAAGATTCACAGTAAAGCATAACGTCTTTAAATGCACAATAATAGATGAAGACACCAGGGACTTCACCACCAAATCAGTGCGTTGTTTGGTTTATTTTCCACGTCTCAGGCCACAATATACACACGGACACGCACACACACACACACACACACACACACACACACACACACACACACACACACACACCCACACCCACACCCAAGCAAACACACACACACACGTACACACACAATGTGTACCCAGGAAGGAAGGGTAGTGGACTGCAGTTATACTTAAAGATCTAACACACACAGGACCTAACATATGTTTTACCACCGTGGTCAGGTGATACGCACCCAAAGCAGAACCCAGCAAAAAAAAAAGAAGCAAATCAAGCCAGTTTGAGGCAGGTGGCCACTTCCTTCCACAACACATGAGCAGCAGGCAATGGATCAGCCTTTCAACATGATGGTTGTGACGGATGTACATGTAACCCTATTTGCACTAGGAGGTGCTACAACACACACTCACACACGCCCGCACGCACACACCACCACCATCACCACCCAGGAAAGCATGCAGCAGTTTGGACCACGTTTCTTCCTCAGACAATGGCTCGCACAAAACATCTATTCCGGACTTTGTTCCAGGCCCGTACCGTGAGTGTGTACGTATATGTGTGCGTGCATGCGGGCGCGCGTGTATGTGTGTGTGTGTGTCCACGTGTGATAGCTAGTGTGGTCGAGGAAGAGATGGGTGGGGGGGGGGGGGGTGTCAGATATGAATAACAGAGCTGCTTGATGAGTGCATGCGAGACACAGCCAGCAAGGTTGTGAGCACAACACGTGACACAAAACACACGACACACCAACTCAGCACAGCTAGTCATGGTCGGACAGGAAGGATCTAAACACGCTGGTCTAAACCGAGAGCACATCTGCCAGTTCTGATGTAAACCGTTCACATCCGATTTGCCTGACTCACCAGCCTGTATTCACGGCGAGTGACCAGTGGACAAACATCTTCGGCTACATGTCCTATAGTGGTTGCATTCAATCCCCATGTGATGGTCTATACGCCACTGCCAGATCATTTCAACCAACCACTAATCCAATCTTCTCACATCCAATCAGCATTCATCGAGTAGCACCTATACAGCCCAATGGCGAAACTGAGACATCTTCCGGAACGAAACATGCATGCTTGCACTAGTCTATATATTACACGCGACATGATTGGGCACATTCATCTTCCTGACAGTACAGTGCTGTCGGTCGCCGAAGAACTGGGGGGGGGGGGGGGGGGGGGGGGGGGGTGCCAGCCTCCTAGCCTAGACCGTTCATATTTTCATGTATCTCAGTCCGGGAATTCTAGAAAGACTAGTGCATTATAGCCCAATGCTGTAGTCTGCAATACAAGGTCTCTCTCTCTCCACAGAGGATACACCGCAGTAATTACAACATTCAGTTGATTGTCGTGCAAAAGCAGGAAGCAATTACTATGATTTGCCGCAGGCGCATACATTGCGGTGTACTGCACGATTTGTACGCACGGAAATGTTGGAAAACACCACAGTACTGTACATGCAATCGTACTAGTACAAGTTCAAGTTCATGATTGATACGAATGGCATTGTTCCTGCACTTCACTTCAGTTTGTTTACAATGGATAGATCCATGTACATGTCATTGTACACCAACTTGAACATGACATAAGTAGTTGTGGAATGATGCGAACACGCGCCAGTCACCGACTCCGGTTCACTCGAGCATTTCGTACTCACCTTTTGCAAGGCCGCTGGAATAACCTGCTGCGACCTGTGGAGACGCTGCGTGGAAGCCGGGTCCTGACATACTCAAGTCAAGACTGCCTGGGACGTTGGGCGCGGCCATGGATCCTGGCGTTACACCAGTCACCGACACCGCTGCGCCATTGCCCGCCACAGCACTCGTCAAGTCGCTCAGCGCATCATAGCTATTCGTTTGCGTGTCCGGCTCCAGCAACGCCAAAAACTGAACGAGACACAAGCACACCAACGCATACAGAGGAAACAAAAGAGATATTGCGATGCCATCGACTATCAACAGAGACACTTCACTAAGTTCACCAAGTCACGAGCAGAACTTGTCGTCACAATTATCGAAAACTAAACTAACATCAACAGATTGAACCATTCACATAGTAGTCCGCTCGACACGCTAAGGAAATGCCAGGGGATCTAGCAACACATTATAGCAAGCGTGATAACATCTGAGAGCGCGTAAGAAAATAAAACAGGATGATGTTAGCGCCAGCAGGAGTGATCCTAGCGATCGGTGACTGGTCGATTGCGGCTGAAGTGAAAAAACTGCGCGCATTCAAATCTTTCCCATTAATTTTGAAATCAGTTTGCATTCTAGCAGCGACACAAATCTCAAGCACAGTTCTAGCGTGTACCTCCTCAATTCCGTTCATCGTCTTCGATGGAGAGAAGACGCAGCTGAATGGCGATGAAGACAACTGACAGCTGAATGCAGGATCAAAGATATCCTCAGTCTGTTCGACACGACGAAAACAGCAGGTGCCCTGGGAAAGAACTCCAGGAAAACTGAAAATCGAACGAAAGGACTTGCTGTGAAGTGTGAGTACGGTCACTCGATGCGATGATTTTCCGTCCCTCTGATCAGGCGTAGATCTACGTACTGCATGTAGCGGCAACGCCATGGGGGCTTCTGAGTTCTGCTCTGTGTACGTGTCTGTGTGTTTTCGGTTCCTATGCTCCCCACTGCGTGCACTGCATGCACACTGTCACATGTTGGCTAGGCGCTAGGCACACACGTACACTGACACAGAGACTTGCATCATTCGTCGCATGCCTGGTCGCTGACCGCGAGGCTGTACTTTGACCCCGAATCACGTGATGAAAGGCCACCTGACGCACTTCGCGCGAAGCAAAGCGTTGGTTTTTGCGATTCCGAACGAATCCTCAGCTGATTCCAGCATCATGAACTATGGTGATTTATTAATCGCAGCGATTTGGGTGATTTCAACTAATTCCTCCTTGTAGTCGCGGCATAGGCGCCTCGAAAGTTCACCACGATGGGCTGTTAGCATGGTTAGGGTCAGGATTAGGTAAAACCCCTTGAGAGACTCCATTGACAAGCGCACATCATGCATGAATGTAGAGGCACTGTGCGTGACCACCCTGCTGCCAATCTAGGCCACCAGGGGTAGTGAGGGTTTCCTCTTGCGCTCAGACAACACATGATTGCCACATCATTTACGGATTTAGAACAGTATGCAACTAGAAAGAATTCCGCTTTGTTTGTCAGCGACGCCCCCTCCTGCTGATAACAAGGAATCTCTGTGCAGGATCCTTGCCATAATGAAAATTTATTTGAGTTGGTCATCGCATATCCAAAAAATATCTTCTTGTTCATTTGAAAAGTCACGCAGCTCAAGACCTTGCCTTCTTCGCAGCACAGCTATCGATGCATTTGGACATCAAGCATGAAGGTGCAATGCACTGAAAGCGAGAATGTTTCGACTTGACTTGAGTAGAAGAAGCCCCTGTAGATCTACAATGTAGATGTAGATGTACATGTACATGTCCACGTAGCAGTAGTTGTGACGAACAATGCACTACACGTAGCAGTAGTTGTGACGAACAATGCACTACACGTAGCAGGAAAGCTGCGGGTTGTCAAAAGACACAGTGCCCCTGCTGCCACAAGAGTAATTTCCTGCAGGAGATATGACTGATTTCCTCGTGGAACTATTACACGGCGATATTTATAGGATTTTTCGTGAGTGGCAGTGAATGGTGCAATTCCCTCGACACACCAAGGTATTCTGGTCATTCATAAGCAGCAGGTAAACGAAGCTCTAAAGAGAAAATCGTTATCAGCGAGTCTTTCAATTCCCAGAGAACACTGAAGTTCCTACAATATAATTATTTTATATGTTACGACCCTGAAGTTCACTGACAGCAAGTGAAGTGCCTGGGACTGCACAGCAGAACAGACACGAGACAGTGCCATCCAGAATACGTTGTGAAACATTAGCACTATGATTTACATGTACGATCCTCTCGAAATTGTTACGAAATAGAGACTTCCAATGTCCAGTGGCAAAGTTTCTTTGCATACATGTACATGTACATCCACAATTGCAGTTTCACTTCATGGATGCTGCACAACTCCTCAATCCTCGCCACTGCTTTTCACAGGTTCTTTGGCTGAGGAACAGCTGTGGAGGGCATGTGTACCCCTCATATCATACACAAAGTATGGAAGGCCATGTTAGTGCCTGACCAATCAAAAACTCCTTCTGGCAGTGCTATTAAATCTAGTCCGACGACCATCACCTACTTGTTTTTTTGGGCCCTGTGTGGCCACTGGGTATGGCTGGTGACGTACTGGACGCTGGATGCAGTGTGTGCCAGGATTAGGACGCACGGCACCAGGGCACGAAGGCCAGACCCCTGCAAGTGGACACATGCAGAAAATCAACAAAAAAACCGAGAACGCAACCATCGTACAACACAGATTCACGGGCAGGGGCATGGGAAGGTATTTAGCATGGCATGGCCAGCCATCAGTATCTGAAGTACATGTACAATTTACTCGTTGGGGAGGGGTGGCTGAGCCGGACCTTTTGGACATTTAGAGCCCAGATCAGTGTATTTTATTGGTTGACGGGGTACCTGGGGCAAAAAGTGGTGCAGTCAATACCATAAACTCCATTCTGAGAAACTCGCTGGTTTCAAGTTCTGCAGCTGTTGCATGCAAGCTGCTCGTATGCAAATCAGACAATGTTCATGCAGACACGGACTCTCTGGCCCGCACATCTGGTTTTCACCAGCGAGCAAAAATGCAGCAGAGGTATATTTCGCCAATTTTTGTGTTTGTTTTCTGGACAAATGCGCGCTACAATGTGAGTAGTTCCGTACTGTAGGGAATGATCAGGATGCTTTCATGGCATAAACCATAACATGGACGACTACAATACAGCTGTGGAGACCATCGTCCACAATGTACACTAACTAAAATCAGTTCCATGAACTTACACGGCAAGCTTGTAGGACGTGGCTGCTGTTGTTGCTGTTGCTGTTGTTGTTGTTGCAGTGGCAATGTTTGCCCTTGCTCTGGCAACGCTTCTTCCAGCAGCATGCGCGTCTCCTCATCGCTCAGTTCGTCGCTTTTGAACTGGAACGTCTTGTAGTCGCCGTCCACGAAGCCTTCTCCGATCTCTACCACTGTGTTCTGGACGTTCTTGAGGGCGCAGCGAAAGTTCACCTTCCACAGCGGCTGATCTCTCTGCTCCATCTTGTCCGGCGATAGTTTACCCGTGTTCAACGCCCAGAGTTTGAAGAGCTTTCCGTCTTTGATGCCCTCGTATCCAGAACTCTTCGCATGCTTCCAGGGCATGCGAAAGGTCCGCTCCTTCCGATCCACATACTCCAAGCCGTCGACATCGCCTGACGACAGCAGATGCTCGAGGAAGGGTCGCATGCGCATTCGACTTCCTGGCACGAGCGATTCGAGATTTCCAGACGCGCATTGCCGAGACTGGGCACGCGGAGTGGCAAGGCCACCCGGCGATGAATAGGGCTGTGATAGTGGGGATTCAGGAGGCGAGCATGCATTATCAACATCCATGATGGTGTCTTCCACTTCGCTCTGAATAGATTTGCAGTCATCATCGGACTGTGGCGGGGTTGGCGAGTTGACGAACTCGTCCGATACGGGAAACATGTTTGCAAAGTGTTTGGAGAAGTAATCCAAGTTTTACTTTGGCGTTGACTGCTGCGATCAAGAAGAAGATCCCTTTCCCTGGCCCTTTCAATTCTAAGCACTGGAAAAGCCATCTTCCTTCCTTTATATCGATCGGGATGCCGACTTTTCTTGGCTGGCCGAACGACACAAGGAAGATTTACAGAGAAGAAGGCCTGTCGTCGCAAATTCACAGGCATTGGACTACAATTAAAAGTTACTTGCGCAGGTATTGTAGATAATTTCGTCAGCATCCCGGAATGGCATTTCTTCGTTGGTCTGGCGACGAGATTATCTCACCGGCACACGAATTATTTCACGTCGGACAACAGTTGGTAAGGTCGTTGACGTTTGAATGGCCCTGCACCATAGCGGATGCCGTCGTCCGCGTCAACTGTCCCCTTTCTCTGGAATCGACCCGTCGGCTGGGTATGCCTGAAAAGCCAGTTTTCCTAGGACAAAGCGAGGCCGCAAAGTGACATAAAACCCGACGCGACCTGCCAAGGCGCTGTTGCCCAGGGAGACTCCAGACTCCAGTCATGTATATTCAGGGAGCTCCTTACTTAGACTTTACCCATGATGGGTCTTCAGTCAGTTCTGTATGGCTGTAGTGACAAGGGGATCATAGACTGATAGAGCTATCCCGGGAGAGTAGAATGAATGGGATCGGGAGCTTAGATTTTCACCGACTAGGTGGAGAGCAATGGTCGTAAAATCCACCTGGCGAAATGGTGGTAAATACACGATATGCCCGCAGTACAATCTCCAAGCTGCAAAGTTCTGGAAAAGAACACTCCTTCCCGGGAGCGCGTTTTGTGGGCAGGCACTTTTGGTACTTTTCTGGTATGTTTCATGTTTGGTGTAACAGAATTCGACTAAATGCCTGCCATAAGGCTTGGACAGTGCATAGTTCTGCCAATTTCACTTTTGTCACTTAGGGTATGCCACGTTTCTATGCAGAATGAGCGCAATTGCGCCAATTTAGCCCTATAAAGATCAGTCTATTCTTATTATTCTTTCATTCAACATCATATGCCTCCACTGATGAGCTCAGGAGGAGCGAAACAGCTGTCTGGAGGGTCATTGTCAATATCAATCTATATACCGGAATTGTCCTCGCTGTGGTGATGGTGATGTGAGTGCAGAGTTTGGATCGGCCAAGAACGCGATGTGGTGGTGTGATGTATTGAATTTCACCCCTTTTCAAGCAGAATTTAGAAATTTTTGGACATAATCAGCTGGGTTTTACTGAACGCGGTGGGTCGGAATGATCTACAGGGTATGTATCGCACATTACGTATACCGGCAGGGGAGCAGGGCTAATTCGCTACAACTCTCTCTGAGGTTCACGCTCCGTTCTTCTGGGCACATATCCCACAGATATTGACGGGACCCCCACCCACACCCCGTCCGTCTCTATCTCTCTCTGTTGAAATGCAGCATGGCATGAAGAGCACACACCTCATCAAGAAATCGATAACTCTGGAGGACATCTATGTTGCATGCAGGAATTGTTGGACCAAAGTGGAAGTGACATGCGTAGTCGAGCCAGTAGGCCTCCGCAAGAAGAGCATTTATTCCTCGCAGCCATATCCTTATCCTTCTGCATTTATTCCGGTGTGTCCATGCGGCATTTTGGTGTTAGTTCTTTGCAATATACCGGTACATGTCCTGAGAACCTCGTACGTGAATGATGCTGTGCTGGGGATGATTCCCCGCGAGTTTAGAGGGCTCCCCCTCTCTGTCTCTCTTTCTCTCTCTCTCTCTCTCTCTCTCTCTCTCTCTCTCTCTCTCTCTCTCTCTCTCTCTCTCTCTCTCTCTCTCTCTCTCTCTCTGCCCCTCTCTCTCTCTCTCTCTCTCTCTCTCTCTCTCTCTCTCTCTCTCTCTCTCTCTCTCTCTCTCTCTCTCTCTCTCTCTCTCTCTCTCTCTCTCTCTCTCTCTCTCTCTCTCTCTCTCTCTCTCTCTCTCTCTCTCTCTCTCTCTCTCTCTCTCTCTCTCTCTCTCTCTCTCTCTCTCTCTCTCAACCCCCTCTCTCTCCTCAACCCCTCTCTCTCCTCAACCTCTCTCTCTCTCTCTCTCTCTCTCTCTCTCTCTCTCTCTCTCTCTCTCTCTCTCTCTCTCTCTCTCTCTCTCTCTCTCTCTCTCTCTCTCTCTCTCTCTCTCTCTCTCTCTCTCTCTCTCTCTCTCTCTCTCTCTCTCTCTCTCTCTCTCTTCTCTCTCTCTCTCTCTCTCTCTCTCTCTCTCTCTCTCTCTCTCTCTCTTCTCTCTCATGGATACGAGTTAAGAGTAACTCTTCATCACTGTAACCAGATACTATAAACAGTCAGAAAGTGCAACAACTAGGCACAAAGCCTGTTTATACAATGTAGTCTGCCTTCAGTATCTGGTTACAGTGATGGAGAGTTAACTAACTCGTATCCATATGTCCTCTCCTTTCTACATTTATTATTGGCATAACATCCGAGTTTTAGATTTCTAATCTCTCCGAACAAATTTCTAAAAGTGCGAAGACTCCACTGTAGCCATCCACTATAAGATCCGTCAGCAATTCCATCCACAGGAGATGGACCTTGCCCTAAAATTCGAATAGTTATCTCTTTTTCTTTTAGTGAGACCGTTTGGAGAGTGTCGTGAAGATGTATGGGTATCTCCGAGGCAGAGGGTTTGTTATCAGCCTCTACCTGACTGTTTAGGCTAAGCACCGTGCCCTGTATAATTATTGTGTAGATCGATAATGTTTAGACATACATGTATCACGCCGCCAATACATATTGAGCACGGTATAATGTAAGCCATGATGAGCTTGGTATGGCTGTTTACAGTTGCCACTCGGCACCAGGAACAACAAAACTGTCAAAAGCACACAAGGTGGTCTGATCTGGGGCACATTGTACATGTAACGTAATGTACCCGTAGCCTAGGTAACGTCACTGGGTACTTTAGGTTTAGCTAGCTGTCCGATGATGATGACGTAATGTTACATTGTACATGTACATTGTACATACGTACGTTCAGAGATGCGGAATCTCAACTCTCAAGTCTCAAGCAGGGTAAAGAGCGATGTGTACTGCCAGAGGATAGCCAGATAACGACAAGGTTGAAAATCACCGCTACTAAAGCAAACAATTGCCCAGGATATGAAGTTGTAACAATTTTCATTACTTGGAAGTACGCGATGGTGATCACTGATGACATCGCTCAGGACTGGTAGACCTAAGCCTCTTCTACGGGCAAAAATTAACACAACGGATTAAAGTGCTATACAACATACATGTACACTGCACTGGAGAAGAAATCAGGAAAATGCATGTGTAAAATAAAGATTTTTAAACCAAAACCCAAAAAAACTACTAGTACATGGACTGGTACGGTAGACAGGTGCTCAGTGTCAGCCTGAGTGGTGGCTATTTTCTGTGCATTTTGTATACATATACGTGAATAATGTCCCCAGGGTCGTGCTTGTCGTTTTCCTGGTGCACATACGACGTTTTCCATATCATTCGCACAAACTGTCACGTCTTATGTCAGCAGCATTGTCCGACGCTGGCCGCATGCAAGAGGCAGAGTTGAGCAAGGAAATTCATCATATCCGTGTAATTCCTCGGACGAATACCGCCACGGAAGATGCATGTATGCGGATTTGTGCTCCCGCCGGAAAGCAGCTATCCCACGACATGCATTATTGATCCACACTATATGTCCACAAAGTCTAGGAATATGATACTTCAGTAGTCAATTCACCATGCATCCAAGTATTCGTATTTACGCCTATATGTATTCTCAGCAGCAGAGGCGGAATGATACAATCATGATGTAGACCTGCATGTACGTTATCAGCGGAGTCTGTGCGGCTTGCAGGTCTATCGCGCCGTAAATGTAGGACTACCTTTCGGACAATCCCCAGGGGCTTACTTGGGGAGTTGGTTACTGCAGCATCACCCTGTGGACATCCTATTTAGTTGGCCGACATGCAGAAGAAGGAAGCAAACAGGATAAAAATTAATAATTCCCGGAAAATGAGAACCTTAATGCGGAATGTAATCGCCGCTTCCCGCACAAAATTGTTCCTCACATCTCAGAGCGATGTGCTGGCAGGGACGGAATCTTCTGCTGTGTTTTATTGTGGCTCCATTCTGCAGCCGCTTACTTTAGACGAGTCGATTGTGTGGTTATGTTTTATTCGCAGGCCCAGGGCTGGATTCAATGTCTAGCGATACAAGGAGCGAGCAAAGCGTTGGTCACATATTCGTCAAAGCTATACTGATCTCACCATGAGCTCCATCTCCATTTGAGAGTTGAAAACGTTTCAAAACGAGCTCTACATTAGATGGGATAACGGATTATCCGATAGCTGTGAAGACAGGCTAACGGATTATCCGATAGCTGTGAAGACAGGCTAGGAGTTCATAAGGTATCTTGTCCTGGATACGGCAGAAACTTATACCTCTCGTGTTGCCAAGATCCAGTTCTAGCACGACGCTTCGAGGATTATCGGTTCTGGCTACCGTAAGCAGTCTCGTCGATGATTACCGTCATTTGTCGGATCCCAGTCTGCCTACAACCTCCACTGTGACGCGAAACCTTCCGAAGTGAGAATGATTACCGGCATGTCCAGCATCAGGGCAAAACGCACCACCGATTCAGAATCTCAGCAACCCGGCAGACGTGAGACTTCATTGTAAGTTCGTAATGAGTCGGACTGGTTGCTCTGCTGTTTAGTTGTCTCATTTTATCATTGATTGTTGGGCTTGCATGCAGCCTATTCCCGCAGTGTGCTGTACCACCAATTCTTACCGTCGAGGCGATGATACATTTCTCCGACTCGATGGACCGCTTTCAACCGGGAAAGGCAATTGAGATTGAAGATTGAGCGTCTCCGTTGCTGTCATATGACTCGAGTTTAGGCTAGCTTGACGCTGGCAAGCGACCATGACTCTAGTCGTTTGGGGTCGAGTTAACGCCTAACACTAACAGCTAACTCAGTAGATGCTATGGTGCATCAGTTTTCGAGTGTACATGCAGCTTCTCCACAGCTGATCCTTGACGCGAGTCGAGGAAAACGAGTAACGATTCAGGACTTGAGAGGGAGAGAGAGAGAGGTTCATTCGTGAAGACATCCCAATTGGAATCATGACGGAGCACAAGCACACCTGGGACATTCCCGAGAGGATACTTCGCGAAGTGTTCGTCGCAGCTGCGTGGCGTGGCGCTCGTTGGAACTTGTGACAACCAGCCCATCAGAAGTTACTCTCATCGACTTCATCGAGGCACGATACTGACGGGCTCCACTACTGGACGTCTTGTAGTACGTTTCAATGGCTGTTGTTCTTCAGAGCGACATGTACAAGCATGCTGACTGCATGAATCAATAACAGTTTTTAAATTTACTATCTTTCGCCATCTCATTAGATAACTAGGGCCTCGAAGCAGACGAAGGGATCGAGTAGCAAAATTTAATGTTTGAGAAGTGGAATCAAAGAAGGCACTGAATTCTCTGAAGATGTCTCTTCTAGGAGACTGGGACATCATACTATCTTTACAATGGACCAAGGTACCGGTTTGAGTGAAGACCAGTAGCAATCCCTTTCTCTTTGTCCACAATTGAGGGTCGAAAGTCTCCCAATAGTCTTCGAAGTGTTTTTTTATTTGCAAGGATTGGGAGAGGTCTAGTGTGAAACTCGAACAAGACAAGGAAAGTCCGTCGAGTCGATGCCTAGTCTTGACAACCAGGAGTGTGATACCGACATGACGTCATTTATTTTATCCTCCATAATCTCCTTGACGTTCGGAATAACAACCTATGCCTCGTATTGGGCTGCGGTTTGTGTCACGCGTTGTGGGCGATGATGATCGTGAGAGATCGGGGCCATGAGAAGGCCCTGCTGGGGCCGATGGTCTGGGTGTGATGCCCTTCTTTGGACATGATGGGTAATGTATGCAAATGTTCTTGTCTAGTTTTCGCAGAGGGATAGGTTATGCCTCGACATTGTCCATGTGATAAACCAATTGTGAAGGAGGAGAAGCCCAAACTTTAAAACTCGTATATATATGTTCACCTATATGTTAGTGTAGCAAATTGTCACGCCGCCCGAAATAGCCCGCGACATACATGTTTCAGCTCACCGCAATGTTGTCGGCCCAGCCCTGCAGGAATGCCGAATGCGAACAGGAAAATCCCCGGCGCAAGATTGCGCCAATCCGGCAACTTCAAGCACGGATACATGTGTCCTCATTAGCAGCGTCGCCACCTTGTCTGGCCGCAAACATTCCGGACGTGTGGGGTCGACTCCAAGTACATGTAGCTCCAAAACTACTGACTTGGGAATATTAGCCGCTGCTCAAGATCCGCCTCCGCTGCATGCACGCACGGTGTGCAGCCAATCGTCCTTAGCAATGCCAGCCAGAACCTCAGCCTAGCAGCCAGAGCCTAGGCCAGGGCCGTGTTACTAATCACACATACCCAAGCCACATACACATACCCAGATTCATGCGTACATGAGTGTAACAAGTTCTTGGCGTTAGGACAATACCATTATCATGACCAGAGGGCATAGGTATCATCCTTACGAGTTCATTGCCAAATATGGAAATTTCCCGGCGTGGCATCCGGAATCCTGACCACTCAGCGTCAGGCCAGGGCATTGTCGAAGCTGAGGCTTCCAGGGTATAGCATGATGTACGGACTGTAGTGTACACCGTCATAATAGTACACAGTCTGAGTTATGTACAGTCATGTACATCTAGTCTATTATTCTGCATGGGTGTGTGGTGCAGTTGCCAAGCAGAGGCAGTGCGGGGCCTGGGGGAATCTAGGCACGCGTGCAATAAGTATGTCCTCCGGGCGGTAAAAGAATAGCATTACATCCTAGCCGACTCTACATGTACCGCTATGTCTACATGTACATGCTCACA